AGCCCATCATGCCAAAAAGGAGCATCCTTATGCTCGGTATGCAGCCCATTGTTCAATTATAATATGACGACAAAGACTAACAATCATTAGGATTATTCGAGACACATATCTGAAAGCAGACCCCGAAAAGCGTCCCAGGATCTTCGGGATGACTGCTTCCCCGGTTGATGCTAAGTGTGACATAGCGGAAGCAGCAATGTGAGCGCCCCAAAATAAAGAAGAGTGAATACTTCTGCTTACTCTATATAGCCAGCTTGAGACTCTTTTAGACAGTCGCATTGCAACAACATCAGATCTTGCCCTCCTGCGAAATTTCGTGAACAAGCCAATGGAGGAGGAATGGGTCTACGACAAGCTTCCTCCGGCATTTGGGACCAATCTGCATGAGATTTTGAAAACAAAGTATGGGGATATGTCAATACTTGAAGGCGCATTTCGATTTGCATCGGTTGCAAGCTCGGAATTAGGGGCTTGGTGCGCAGACCAGGTATGGGCTCTCGCCCTGGCGGATGAAGTACTGCCCAAGCTGGAGGGCAGTATCGGCAAAGTTGATTCTGATCCCCAGGATTCTGAAAAGGCTCAAGAGGAGATCAAGCGAATTCAAGAAGCCAACCAGTTCGTCAAGGAATACATCGCGAACCAGGCATTTATGCCGAGTGATCTCAGCTCCAAAGTCGAAATTTTGATGAGAAAGTTGCAAGAACAGTTTGTGAAGTCACCAGATACCAAATGCATTGTATTCACACAACGGCGCAATACAGCTAAAGTATTGTTACAGCTGTGCGAAAAGCTGGAGATTCCAAATCTCCGTCCCGATGTCTTGGTCGGGGTTCGCAAAGGAGATGCCCTAGGAATGAATTCCACATTTCGTCGGCAGTTTCTTGTCTTGGTCAAGTTCCGAAAAAGTGAAGTTAACTGCTTGGTGAGTACTTACACAAACCAAAAAACTGTTCGCAGAGAAAGTCTAACCCTTCAAAGTTTGCAACATCGGTCGCAGAGGAAGGCCTTGACATCCCAGACTGTAACCTGGTGGTAAGGTAGGTTACCTAGCATTATAACCGCTGCTGTTGCTTCTACTGACTGACAAAGGTTCGATCTGTATGACACGGTTATTCAATACGTCCAAAGCCGAGGCCGTGCCAGACGCACCGACTCAGTGGTTAGATTTCCCCAAATTATATAAGATGCAATTGATTTACTCACTACTTTACAGTACGCAACGATGGTGGAGAGTGGTAATCGCAACCACAGCATGAGACTACAGGAAGTTCGAAGAGCAGAGGTAAGGGTCCTTTCCAACTGATATTGCACTGAACTCAATTGACATAAACAGCATCTGATGAAGAATTTCTGCAACATGCTGCCGGATGATCGAAAATTGTACGGAGATGATCATGATATGGGAGTACTTATTCGCGAGGAAGGCCGGAAGAGAACATACACCATCCCGAGCACAGGTGCCATGTTGACCTACCGTCATGCGATTGGTGTGTTGGCACGATTTGCCAGCTCATTGGTAAGAGCCAAATTTCATTTACTGACGTTATTATCAAAGCTAACGGTGACAAAATCTCAGCAATATGAAAATGAGATCTCCGCCTTGGTCACATACATTGTCATGTCAGAAAACGAATCATTCAGCTGTGAGATAATTTTGCCAGAGAAGTCACCTGTGCGAAGAGTGATTGGATGTTCCGAATCGAAGAAATCACTCGCTAAGCAATCCGCTGCTTTTGATGCATGCCTTCTACTTCGCAAAAAGAATCTGTTGGATGAGCACTTCAACTCTGTCTACCACAAGCGTCTGCCAGCGATGCGCAATGCCAAATTGGCCATTACTTCAAAGAGAACTGACCAGTACAGAATGCGTACCAAGCCCTCAATCTGGGCTAGGCAACAGGGAACCACTCCAGCACGCCTCTACGCGGTAGTTATTCGTCTCATCCCATCAGAGCCTCTGAATCGGGCTCATGGAAGCATTGTATTGCTGACACGAGAGCGGATCACATCAATCCCGTGTTTCCCGGTCTTCTTGGATAATGATATCGAGACTACGGTCCAGTCTTTGTGCATTGACGGGTGCTTTGAGGTTGCTCCTGAAGAGCTCGAAATTGTGACTGCATTTACACTTGCTGTTTTCCACGACGTGTTTCACAAAACCTACAAGCACGTCTCGGAACAGTTTCCGTACTGGCTTGCGCCTGCTCGAGAAGATGTGGACATTAGAACGTCAACAAGTCTCCTTGACATAATTGACTGGGCGGCATTGCACTACGTCCAAGATAATCCCAAGCTTATGTGGTCCACTGATATGGAGCCGGAATCGTTGCTAACCAGATTCATTTACGACGACTGGAATGGAAAGTATCGATACTTTCCGCTTGCTGTAGACCCCAATCTACGTCCTTCAGACCCACCCCCATCCTATGCACCATCTCGAAAGTGGTCAGACGACATCATGAATTGGTCCTTGAGCTTGAGCAAAAACTCACGTCCAAAATTCTTTAACCGATGTATCTGGGCTCAACCGGTCTTACAGGCAGAGTTGGTCTGCCTTCGGCGGAACTTTCTTGACAAAGCGGCCGAGGAAGATAAAGAATCTAACTCGAGATGCGTCATTTGCCCTCAGCCGCTGGTTTTATCGGCGGTTAGTTTTGTCCCAATATATGTTTCAGCTCACCTAACGTGCTAATATATACCTCAGATTTCCATGCCCGTGGCCGCGACGTGTTTTGTCTTTCCAGCAATTATTACTCGAGTGGAGTCCTACTTGATTGCCCAGGAGGCATGCGAAATGTTAGATCTTGGTGATATCAAGCTCGAATATGCTCTGGAGGCCTTCACCAAGGATTCGGACAACACCGAAGAGCACCGAAGCCTACAGATTCATGTTCAGCGAGGAATGGGAAAAAATTACGAACGCCTTGAATTACTAGGAGACTCTGTCCTAAAGATGGCAACATCGATCTCGCTCTTCGTTCAAAACCCCGAAGATGACGAATACGACTATCACGTTAACAGAATGTGTCTCATCTGCAACAAGAACCTGTTCAAGAACGCAACTGAACTGAAGCTATACGAGTACATACGTAGTCGTGGGTTCTCTCGGTATGTCTTTTACAATTTATCCTAACAAGTGAGTATTTAACTGACAATCAACCGCAGGCATATGTGGTACCCCCCAGGTCTTTCGCTTGAGTATGGTCGAGACCACGCCAAGTTTTTTGCTAGTGAGGGCAAGCACTCCTTAGCTGAGAAGACCATAGCAGATGTGTGCGAGGCATTGATAGGCGCCTCGTTGCTCTCGGGAGGTGACGACAATCGCTATGACCTGGCCATCAAAGCTGTGACCATCTTCGTCAACAGTCAGAACCACACGGCAACATCGTGGAAAGACTACACCTCTTCGTATTCCATTCCTACCTACCAGAGCAGGGCGGCTGATGGGTTTGAGAAGAACTTGGCCCATCAAGTATTCGAGAAAGTAGGCTACGAGTTTAAGTACCCTCGTCTTCTGCGGTCTGCTTTCACGCATCCATCTTATCCTTTGGCATGGGCCAAGGTGCCTTGCTACCAGCGGCTTGAGTTCTTGGGTGATGCACTCCTAGATATGGTGTGCGTAGAGCACTTGTTTCATCGGTTCCCCAACCGAGATCCGCAGTGGTTGACGGAACATAAGGTCTGTATTATATTTAGCAAAGCCAAGTCACATAGCTCCTGGCTAAAATTAATCAATAGATGGCTATGGTGTCCAACAGATTTCTCGGTGCTTTGGCTATAAAGCTAGGGCTTCATCTTCATCTTCAGCATTTCAGCAGTCCACTCATGATTCAAAACAGCAAATACGCAGAGGAACTTCAGCTTGCAGAGAGCGAAAGCAATGGAGAGGTAGACTATTGGCTTTCAACGTCAGATTCTCCAAAGGTAAGTTCTCTACTCAATATGGACATGATCCTCATACTCATCCTCATACTCACAGGATTACAGTGTCTTCCCGACATGCTTGAGGCTTATCTCGGTGCCATCTTTGTTGATTCTGGCTTTGACTTCACAGTGATTGAGGCCTTCTTCGAAAAGCATATTCTGCCGTTCTTCCGCGACATGTCTATTTATGACACATTTGCAAACAGGCACCCAACGGTAAGGTCATCTCCTTCTACTGAGATTTTACCTTCGTACTAATAGATCATAGACATTCCTTCATAGCCAAATGACTCACAACTACCGTTGCACTGGTTACTGTTTGAAATCCGCAGAGATTCCTGCCGTGGAGGGAGAAACTCCCAGGGTCTTTGCCGCAGTTATGGTGCACGGCGAATCCATTGCCAGCGCAGTCGCATCTTCTAGTCGGTATGCTAAAGTGAGGGCTAGCACCCGGGCATTGGCTGTCCTTGATGGAATGTCACTTTCTGAGTTTCAGGAGAAGTATCACTGTTCTTGTCAAGGTGGACAGGTCACTGTGGACCATGCAAATATCGGTACGGCAGTTTGAAAAGAGAGAAATTGTGGACTGGAAATTTGTTATTTTGTTTTATTTCAGCGGTATTCCCAGAATAAGACGTTGAGGTCCTATTAGGACCCTAGGAACGAGAATGTACTTTGTACTTTGTACTTCAATATAAAATCCAAGGTGAAGCTTATACTTCGAAAGGAACGGGCCAGAGACGAGAGAGCCATGGATGTGCGTCGCATGGGGGTCGTGTCACGCTTAACCTAATGGGGAATAGTGTGCATCCCCTGAAGTAAAGACACGCCGCGTATCTTTTTAATCTTTAACAGACACCAGGATTCAGGACGGTAAAGGCCTGGAATTTATGCTTGCAATCATTTTTAATCTATTAGATTTCTTTCTTCTTTTCAGCCTTTGTCATTATCCTTTTGCTCTGTTTTCCTGCCCAACTCCCACTCGACGCGATCTCAACATTCCAAACACGATCCGCGCTCCTATTATTCCTTATCGCCGATGAACACTTCGAATTCGTCATAATAATATCGGCATCATGGAGGTCGCCTCATCAGGCGTGCCAAATGGCGTCTCAACACCAGAGACCGCAGCTATTGTTGATTCCGGTGCGGTCATTCAGTACTTGACCGAAGTGCTCCAGGTGACACTGGGAGCCCAGAGATCCGAGCTGGAAAGCGCTGGGAGCTTGCTTTCGGAATCAAAATACAATGAAACACTGCAGCGGTGTACGCGATTTGCCTCGGAAGCGCAAGTCGCTCTCTATGTGCAAAAGGACATTGTGACAGCGGAGGAAACCAACGGCGAAGCGGAGGACCAAGGTATGTCCAACCCAAGTGCTAAGACATTGGAAGATATGATGCTAATGATGCCGGTGAAGAAACAGCGGTACAATATGTCTACAACCTTTCCTCCGATATTTCGTCCGCTCCTACAACTGTGTCTTCGGTGGCTATCATCAAACGACCTGCTCCAATCGACATGAGCCTTCCAATAGCGTCGCAGGTCCAAGTCATGAATCTTCCCGGTCCCGCTTCTCTCAGCAATAGCTCCGGTCAGCAGGGGAATTCAATGTCGCCCTACCAGATCCTACACTTGATGATACACCATGGTCTCAGCCCTTACTTCGAATCCTACACTCGCAGCCAGGAGACGGCCGTCGGCACAAAATCAAAAACGGATACGGAGGCAAAGACTGGTATCCCGGGAACCAAGAAGAGATTCGCAGACTTGGAGCGGGGGTTGATAAACCTCCAGGAGAATGCGGAGATTCCAGCTTTAAACTTGCCTCTTCACGAAGTGGTACAGGCCGCTCTGCAGGATGCCGAAGCACGTGGTATCAAAGCATCGGTTGAGTTGATTCCATCGACGGTACTGGAGAGCAGCGCTTTCACAAATAGCATTCAGAACGTCGTGAACGGCTGGATTAGGTCCATCCAGACGATCACCAAGATGTCCCGCGACCCGGACAGTGAGTCTGCCTCTCCTGAGGTAAACTTCTGGCTATCCCTGGAGGCTGCACTGGAGGGAATCGAGGCCCAGCTTCTAAGCGAGGGTGTTCGCTTGACTATGGACATTCTCCGCCATGCAAAACGATATCAGCCGACTCTCAGTTTCGTGGCGGACACTGGATTGAAAGAGGCTACCGATTTGGTCCAGAAGTACAACCAGTTGATGCGAGACTTCCCTCTCGATGAGCTCCTCTCCGCGACTTCTCTGCAAAAGGTCCAGGAATCACTGAACTTGATTTTCACTCACCTGAATAAGAAGTTGAAGATTTGCCCCTACCCCATCAAGCGGGCACTTTCACTCGTCGAAGCCATCTCGGGTGATCTCGATAAGAAGATCCATGAGCTTATAACTGGACGTACAATCTTGCATCTGGATTACCGTGAGTTCCGGTCTTTGATGAAGACCACACAAGCCATCTGGCGTACTTGGGACGAGAACTTGAAGGAATTCACAAACGTTGCGCGTGAATCAACACGGCGTCGTAACGAAAAATTCATTCCGATCAAAATCAATGCGAGACACGACAAAACCCGCGAGCGGGTGCAGTACGTCGATACCTTCAGGATCAACCATGAACAGCTCCAGAAAACCATTATCAATGTCCTGGGACCCAACAGCTCTTCATCTAACGGGAATGGAGCTGGAGTTGATGCCGATGGTGCCGTGATAGTCGAGGAGATTGGCGATGTTGATGCAGTGGAGGAAGTTGCGCACGCCTACGCTTCTCTCAAGAACGTGGACGTGTTGGATGTTTCACCAGAGGGATCTCTTATCTGGGAGCAGTCCGAAATTGCTTACAGTGAGCGTACTTCCCGTGTTGAGAACTCTATCATTGCTCGTCTACGTGACCGTCTGGCTACTGCCAGGAATGCCAACGAGATGTTCCGCGTGTTCTCGAAGTTCAACGCTCTTCTCGTTCGTCCTAAGATCCGTGGTGCAATTGGCGAGTACCAAACGCAACTTATTGATAATGTCAAGCGAGATATCAGTGCTTTGCATGAGCGCTTCAAGCAACAGTACGGTAATTCGGAAGCTCACGCTATGGCCCAACTACGGGACCTGCCACCCGTGTCCGGCGCCATTATCTGGACCCGTCAGATTGAGCATCAGCTTAATGGCTACATGCGCAAGGTCGAAAACGTCCTTGGCGAGAACTGGCACCTACACGCCGAGGGCCAGAAGTTGCAGAATGAGGGTAACTTGTTCCGCAAGAAGCTCGACACCCGGCCTGTCTTCGAGTCATGGCTGTGGGACGTTCAACGGCGCCATTTTACAATCGCTGGACGGCTGTTTAATGTCGTGCGCAACCGATCAGCAGGAAACGTTTTGGAGCTGGCAGTCAACTTCGATGCTCAGATCATTGCTCTCTTCAAGGAAGTCCGCAATCTTATCTGGCTCAACTTCCAGGTTCCTCATGCTGTCAGTAATATCTCGAAGGAGGCGAAGCGTGTTTACCCCTACGCCATTAGTCTGATGGAGAGCGTTCGCACCCTGTTGCAGACGAATCGAGCAATTGCGTCGATGACCGGTGTCAATATGCTGCTCAACGGCTACATGAACGACACGCAGATTATGGTTGCTAAGGGTATCCCTCTCCGGTGGGAGTCCTTTGTCCATTCTTACGAGCTACATGTCAAGCAGTCAGCATTGGCAAATGGTGCCATCGAGTCATCTCTGTCTGGTCGTTCCGAAAGCAAGCATGTTCAATTTGTCCGCGAGTTTGCTATTTCGGCATCCACACTTCAGACGAAAACTACTGTGCTTGACACCATCAACGAGAACATTCAGAAATCCATCCATGAACTGAAGACATGTCCATACGACGCATCGGCTTTCAAGCAACGTTTGGACAGCATCCAAGTTTCTGTTGACAAGCTTAACCTCGAAAACTACGTGAACCTTGGATACTGGGTTGCTGAGCTTAATAGAACCATCGAGGCAATTCTGCGTGAGCGACTTCTTCGCGCTGTGCGCGAGTGGATCATCACCTTCAAAGGCAGCAACCATGAGGACTCGACTTCTCATCATCAGCTTGCAACGGCCGAAACGGATGCTTTGAATTACAAGATCCAGTTCCCTGAACTCTTCCACGAGATTCTGATGAGAAATCAAGTCCTCCACCTGGACCCACCGTTGCAATTCGCACGCGCAAGCTGGTTCTCCCACTTTGATTCATGGCTCGGTGTGATTTGCAACCTAGAAAAGATCAAACCCTCCCGTTACCAGATCTCAATTGGTGTGCAAAATGTTCGTCTGTCCGAAGTCTGCTTCTCCGACCTACCGCAAAATTGCACCGATGAGCTCAATCAAGTCTACAATGTTGTCGAGTCGAGACTGAAGGACGTGACGGAGTATGTCGATAAGTGGCTGCAGTTCCAATCGCTTTGGGATCTTCGGTCTGAGCAGGTCTACGAGATCTTGGGAGATGATCTGTCTCAATGGCTACAGCTTCTTCAGGAAATCAGAAAGAGCCGGGCTACATTCGATACTTCCGAAGTCAGCCGCGCCTTCGGAAACATCAGGATTGATTACGAGCAAGTCCAAACCAAGGTGAACGCCAAATACGACCAGTGGCAGCATGAGATTCTCGTAAAGTTCGGTTCCAAGCTTGGTGGCCGTATGAGAGAGGTTCATTCTGAGATTGCTGCTGCCCGCAGGGATTTGGAAGGCCAAACCCTGGAGGCTTCTTCAACGGCCCATGCCGTATCTTTCATTACCATTGTCCAGCAGTGCAAGCGCAAGACTCGAGTCTGGGAGCCCGAGGTTGATCTCTTCCGTCAAGGTCAAACCACACTCGCCCGCCAACGTTACCAGTTCCCGTATGACTGGCTTCACGTTGAGAATGTTGATGGTGAATGGGCAGCCCTAAACGAACTGCTTAGCCGCAAGAGCAAAATTGTCAACGAGCAAACTGAAGGCCTACGTGCAAAGATTAGCGCCGAAGACCACGTCATTGCCGGCAAGATCGCTGAAGTTATTGGCCAATGGAATGACGAGAAGCCGGTCTCTGGCACTATTCCACCCGAGGAAGCATCTCGTACCCTGAGCTCTTTCCAGTCTCGCCTCGAGTCTCTCCAGTCTGAGTTTGAGATGGTGTCAAAGGCCAAGGAAGCTCTTGATCTTCCCCCAAGTTCCGAGTCATCACTTCCCCCATTCTCGAGGAGGTCCAGGACTTCATGTCTGTCTGGGCTGCTCTAGCGACTATTTGGAATAGCCTCAATGACCTTCGCGATGGCCTGTGGACTAGCGTGCAACCCAGGAAGCTCCGACAATCTCTCGACAATTTGATCAAAATGACCAAGGAAATGCCCAGTCGCATGAGACAATATGCTGCCTTTGAACATATTCAGAATGTCCTTCGGCAGCTGCTGAAGGTCAATTCCCTTCTGTCTGACATGAAATCCGAAGCCGTCAAGGAAAGACACTGGCATAAGATTTACAAGAGTCTTAAACCCGACAAGCGTTTCTCTCTTGTCTCTTTGACTCTTGGTGATGTTTGGGATTTGCAACTCGCATCAAGTGATTCCATCATTCGTGCTATTATCGCACAGGCACAGGGTGAAATGGCATTGGAGGAATTCCTGAAGTCCGTTCGCGAGACTTGGCAAAACTATTCTCTGGATCTGGTACACTACCAGAACAAATGCCGCCTGATCAAAGGCTTCGATGATCTGTTCGCCAAGTGTAGCGAGAATCTGAACTCCCTTCAGGCCATGAGGCATTCTCCATACTACAAAGAATTCGAAGAAGAAGCCACATCTTGGGAAGATAAGCTGAACCGAGTCCATGTTCTTTTCGATGTCTGGATCGATGTCCAGCGACAATGGGTCTACCTGGAAGGCGTCTTCACCGGCAATGCTGACATCAAGCATCTTCTTCCTTTGGAATCGGGCCGTTTCCAGAATATTAACTCCGAATTCTTCACTGTCATGAAGAAGGTGTACAAATCTCCATTCGTTTTGGATATTCTCGCAATTGTTGACGTGCAGAAGTCCTTGGAGAGACTGGCTGATTTGCTCAACAAAATCCAAAAGGCCCTTGGTGAATATTTGGAGCGTGAGCGTGTCTCATTCCCTCGCTTCTATTTTGTTGGAGATGAGGACTTGTTAGAGATTATTGGTAACAGCAATGATATCTTCCGCGTTGCTAAGCATTTCAAAAAGATGTTTGCTGGAATGTCAGGCCTTGTCATGGATGACGATAACAATATTGTTGCATTCACCTCCAAGGAGGGTGAAGAAGTCCGCCTGAAGAAAGAAGTCAACCTCCTCAAGACTCCTCGGATCAATGACTGGCTCTCCGCGCTAGAGAACAGCATGAAGTTGACTCTGGCTGAGCTTCTTGGCGAGGCCGTTGAACAATTTGGCGTCCTTTACCATAGCAGCGATGTGGACCGAACAGCTTTCAATGACTACCTCTCTAACTACCCTGCTCAGATTGTGGTCCTTGCCAGTCAGGTTACTTGGACCAATGCAGTGCAACACTCGCTGGAAGAAGGAGGTGCAACTCTCCCCTCGTTGCACGGTTCCGAGGTTCGGATTCTCGAGTTGCTGGCTGCCACGGTGCTTGGTGAACTCGACCCGATCACTCGCAAGAAGTGTGAGCATATGATCACCGAGTTCGTTCACCAGCGTGACTGCATCTCCAAGCTCATCAGTCTCAATGCTACGACACCCACGCACTACCATTGGCTCCTCCAGATGCGTTATGTCTTCAACGATTCGGTCGATTTCTTGGAGCGCCTGTATGTCCACATGGCCAACGCTAAGCTCGCCTACGGATTTGAGTATCTGGGTGTGCCTGAGCGCCTTGTTCGCACGCCTCTCACAGATCGTTGTTTCCTCACCCTTACTCAAGCTCTTTGCCAGCGACTGGGTGGCTCACCCTATGGTCCTGCTGGTACCGGAAAAACCGAGTCAGTCAAGGCATTGGGTCTGCAACTCGGTCGTTTCACCCTTGTCTTCTGTTGTGACGACACATTCGATTTCCAAGCAATGGGTCGGATATTCCTCGGTATCTGCCAGGTTGGTGCGTGGGGTTGCTTTGACGAGTTCAATCGTCTGGAAGAACGTATCCTGTCAGCTGTCTCTCAGCAGATTCAGAACATTCAGATTGGTCTGAAGACTGGCGGAGATGGCGACAAGGCCCAAATTGAACTCGTCGGAAGACGACTCGCTGTGAACTCCAACACCGGAATTTTCATTACCATGAACCCTGGTTATGCTGGTCGTTCCAATTTGCCAGACAACTTGAAGAAGCTGTTCCGCAGCGTTGCCATGTCCAAACCAGACAAGGAGCTAATTGCGGAAGTGATGCTTTTCTCCCAAGGTTTCAAGCAGGCTAAACCTCTCTCCAAGCAGACCGTTCCCTTCTTCGACCACTGTGCTTCCCGGCTCTCCAAGCAGGCTCATTACGATTTCGGTCTCCGTGCATTGAAGAGTGTGCTTGTTAGCTCAGGTGGTCTTAAGCGCGCTCGTCTTGCCAACGCCGAGGGAGACCTAGGCCCCGAGGATGTTATTGAACCTCAAATTATTGTTCAAAGTCTCCGGGAGACAATCGCTCCTAAGCTTATCCGAGAGGATGTGGAAATCATGTTGGACATTCAGGTGAAAGACTTCCCTGGCGTGGATTATGTGCCCGCCAACTTCGAGAAACTCACCCAGGCGATCCGTGATATTGCTACCAAAGAGCAACATCTCGTCGACAGTGAGATGTGGATCACCAAGGCACTGCAGCTCTACCAAATTCAATGCATCCACCATGGTGTCATGATGGTCGGCAAGTCGGGAGCCGGTAAATCGGCTGCCTGGAAGATTCTACTGCAAGCCATGCAGCGCATTGAAGGCGTTGAGGGCGTCTCCCACATCATCGACTCCAAGGTCATGTCTAAGGAGTCTCTCTATGGTAACCTTGACAGCACTACCCGTGAATGGACGGACGGTCTCTTCACTGGAATTCTGAGAAAGATCGTAGACAATCTCCGAGGCGAGGACAGCAAACGTCACTGGATCGTTTTCGACGGAGATGTTGATCCTGAGTGGGTTGAGAACCTGAACAGTGTTCTTGATGACAACAAACTTCTCACTCTTCCCAACGGAGAACGTCTCAACCTACCTTCCAATGTTCGCATCATGTTCGAAGTTGAAAGCTTGAAGTATGCCACGCTTGCCACCGTCAGTCGTTGCGGTATGGTGTGGTTCAATGCCGACACTGTCACTCCAACCATGATGATTTCCAACTATGTCGAAAGCCTCAGGACAAAGACCTTCGAGGACCTGGATGAAGACAGCGCACCTGCGGGAACTGCAGCACTCCGGACACAGGATGCCCAGGACACAGTTGCAACAATTCTCAAACAGTTCCTGGAGGTTGATGACCTGGTTCTCAAAGCTTTGGAGGAAGCAAAGAAATACAACCATATCATGGAGTTTACGGATATCCGTGCTCTCAACACTCTCTTCAGCTTGTTGAACAAGGCCTGCCGAAACGTGCTCGAATACAATGTCCAGCATCCAGACTTCCCTCTGGACCCTGAACAGATCGAGTCCTATATGTCCAAGAAGCTTCTTCTCACACTGGTCTGGTCTCTTACCGGTGATTGTCCACTAAGTGACCGCAAGATGTTCGGCAAATACATCACTGGAATGTCTACTATCGATCTTCCACCGGACGGCGATTCATCTCTTATTGACTACGACGTCAGTCTTCCCAAGTCTGACTGGACTAGCTGGCATTCACAGGTGCCCACAATTGATATCAACACACATTCCGTCACTCAAACCGACGTCATTATCCCCACGGTCGATACTATCCGCCACGAGGATGTGCTGTACTCGTGGCTTGCTGAGCATAAGCCCTTGTTGCTTTGTGGCCCTCCTGGATCCGGTAAGACTATGACATTGTTCGCCGCGCTCCGAAAGCTCCCGAATATGGAGGTTGTTGGTCTCAACTTCTCGAGTGCCACCACACCTGACCTCCTGGTCAAGACCTTTGAACAGTACTGTGAGTACAAGAAGACTCTTAATGGTGTGGTGATGTCTCCGAACCAGATCGGCCGCTGGCTTGTCATTTTCTGTGACGAGATCAATCTTCCGGCCCCTGATCGCTACGGCACTCAGCGCGCCATCTCCTTCCTGCGCCAACTTGTGGAGCAGAATGGCTTCTGGAGGACTACTGACAAGACCTGGGTTACTCTGGATCGCATTCAATTTGTTGGTGCCTGTAACCCTCCTACGGATGCTGGTCGTACGCCGATGGCCGAGAGATTCCTGCGTCATGCGCCCCTGATCATGGTCGATTACCCTGGCGAAATCTCTCTCAACCAGATTTATGGCACATTCAACTCTGCTGTGCTTAAGATTCTTCCGTTGCTGCGTGGATACTCCGAGGCCCTCACTAGGGCTATGGTTCAGTTCTACCTGGAATCCCAGACCCGCTTCACGCCCCAAATTCAGCCCCACTACGTGTACTCGCCTCGTGAGCTCACCAGATGGGTTCGTGGTCTGTACGAGGCCATCAAGCCACTGGAAACTCTTTCTGTTGAAGGCCTGGTCCGCATTTGGGCACACGAAGCCCTGCGGCTATTCCAGGACAGACTCGTGGATGAAGATGAGAGAGCTTGGACAGCAGATGCTGTACGCCGCATTGCCTTGGAACATTTCCCTACAATTGATGAACAAGAAGCACTGAAGGGTCCGATCTTGTTCTCCAACTGGCTGTCTAAGAACTACGTGCCTGTTGAACAAGAGAGTCTGCGTGACTTCGTGAAGGCACGTCTAAGAACCTTCTGTGAAGAAGAGGTGGATGTTCCACTTGTGTTGTTCAACGATGTTCTTGAGCATGCGCTACGCATCGATCGTGTCTTCCGTCAGCCTCAAGGTCATCTTATCCTCATCGGTGTGAGCGGAAGTGGAAAGACAACTCTATCTCGCTTCGTCGCTTGGATGAATGGTCTGAAGGTCTTCCAGATCAAGGTACACGGAAAGTACTCTTCGGAAGACTTCGATGATGATCTTCGCAGCGTTCTTCGCCGGGCAGGATGCAAGGGTGAAAAGATTTGTTTCATTATGGACGAGTCAAACGTCCTTGACTCTGGATTCCTGGAACGCATGAACACCTTGCTTGCAAACGCAGAAGTCCCTGGTCTCTTTGAGGGTGATGAATTCTCCTCGTTGATGACTGCGTGTAAAGAAGGTGCCCAGCGTCAAGGCTTGCTCCTCGACTCGCAGGAGGAGCTGTACAAGTGGTTCACTTCGCAAATTGTGAAGAACCTGCACGTTGTGTTTACCATGAACCCGCCAGAGGAGGGCTTATCTTCGAAGGCAGCCACCAGTCCCGCCTTGTTCAACCGTTGTGTCCTGAACTGGATGGGTGACTGGTCTGACCAAGCCCTGTTCCAGGTCGGCTCCGAGCTCACTCAATCGGTCGATCTGGATAAGCCAAACTTCATCTCGCCTGATAGCATCCCAGTGGCGTACCGCGAGTTGGCTCTCCCGGCATCACACAGAGACACTGTTGTCAATTCCATGGTGTATATTCACCACTCTTTACATCGCTTCAATGGGCGACTTCAGAAGCAACAGGGCCGGGTCACTTTCCTCACCCCTCGCCATTATCTCGACTTTGTGGCGCAGTACGTCAAGCTGTTTAACGAGAAGCGCGAGGATCTTGAGGAACAACAGCGTCACTTGAACATTGGTCTTGAAAAGCTTCACGACACCGTCGACAAAGTGAGCGACCTTCGAGCTAGTCTCGCACAAAAGAAAACACAGTTGGAGAGGAAGGACATGGAGGCGAACGAGAAGCTGCAGCGTATGGTTGCTGATCAGCAGGAGGCAGAACAGCGGAAGCAGGTTTCATTGGAAGTGCAGGCTGCATTGGAGATACAAGAGAAGGAAGTGGCAACTCGGAAAGAAGTTGTCCTGCACGATCTGGCCCGGGCCGAGCCCGCTGTGCTGGAAGCCCAGAAGAGTGTCAGCAACATTAAGCGTCAACACCTCACAGAAGTTCGGTCAATGGGTAACCCTCCGGCCAGTGTCCGACTTGCCCTGGAAGCCGTATGCACACTCCTCGGTCACACCGTCGACAGTTGGAAGACAATCCAAGGTCTCATTCGTCGGGATGATTTCATTGCCAGTATCGTCAACTACGATAATGAGCGCCAGATGACGCGCAGGCACCGTACCAAGATGCAGAATGAGTTCCTCTCGAAGGAAGATTTCACATATGAGCGAGTCAACCGCGCCAGTAAGGCCTGTGGTCCACTGGTGCAATGGGTCGAAGCCCAGGTAAATTACTCTGCAATCCTCGACCGCGTTGGCCCTCTACGTGACGAGGTGGATCAACTCGAGGAGCAAGCCCTGCAAACCAAGGCCGAGGCTCAGGCCATCGAAAATACCATCAACGACCTCGAACGCAGCATCGCTACCTACAAGGCCGAGTACGCGGCCCTTATCAGTGAGACGCAAGCGATCAAGACCGAGATGAATCGCGTTCAATTCAAGGTCGACCGTAGTGTTCGTTTGCTTGACAGTTTGTCATCTGAGCGTGAGCGCTGGGAAGATGGAAGCAAGTCATTCGAAACCCAGATCAGCACCCTTGTTGGCGATGTCCTCATTGCGGCTGCATTCCTTGCATATGCTGGTCTTTACGATCAGCAATTCCGTAAAGCAATGGCTGAGGACTGGGTCCACCAACTGGGGGCCTCTGGCATTGACTTCAAGCCTCATAACCCTATCACGGAATACTTGTCCAATGCCGATGAGCGTCTGACCTGGCAGAGTCATTCTCTTCCCGTTGATGACCTTTGCACAGAGAACGCCATCATCCTCAAGAGATTCAACAGATACCCACTTATTGTTGATCCGTCTGGCCGTATTACAGAATTCTTACAGAAGGAAAGCAAAGACCGCAAGCTTACTGTCACGAGCTTCTTGGACGATTCCTTTGTCAAGCAATTGGAGAGCGCGTTGCGTTTCGGAAACCCCATTCTTATCCAGGATGCCGAGCACCTGGACCCTATTCTCAATCACGTTCTCAATAAGGAATACCAAAAGACTGGTGGTCGTGTCCTCATTCAATTGGGCAAGCAAGAAATCGATTTCTCGCCATCCTTCAAGCTCTTCCTATCGACCCGGGATCCATCTGCCTCGTTCCCGCCAGATATTTGCAGTCGTACAACCTTCGTCAACTTCACTGTCACCCAAAGCAGCTTGCAAACACAGTCATTGAATGATGTCCTCAAATTCGAGCGGCCCGATGTCGATGAGCGTCGCAACAATCTCGTCAAGATGCAAGGAGAGTTCAAGGTCCACCTTCGACAACTTGAGAAACGTCTTTTGCAAGCTCTCAACGAGTCCCGTGGTAACATTCTCGATGATGACAATGTCATTGAAACTCTTGAAACTCTCAAGAAGGAGGCTGCCGATATTTCTCTCAAAATGGACCAGACCGAAGGCGTTATGCTCGAGGTGGATAACGTTACTCAGAACTACAGCATCATTGCCCGTTCGTGCAGCGCCGTCTTTGCGGTTCTGGAACAGCTTCACCACCTCAACCACTTCTACCAGTTCTCTCTGCAGTATTTTGTCGATATTTTCAACTCTGTTCTCTACCAGAACAAACGTCTTGCCCAGGAGAAGGATCATTCTGCACGTGTCCAGATTATTGTCAGGGACTTGTTTATCAACACCTACAAGCGAACCTCGCTAGGTCTCGTTCAGAAGGATCGCATCACCCTTGCCATCCTACTTGCTCAAGCTACTCCATTCCCCATGGACAGGACCATTCTCGACCGCGTCCTAGATGAGACAGTAGTGGATACGGATCTTTCAACTGCCGTGGACGCCCGCGACCAAGTGATGACGAAGTTGGCCAACATGTCCCTCTTCAAAGACCATCTTTCGAATATCACCCAAGAACAGTGGGATCGCTTCTTCGACGAGGAGCTTGCAGAGAACGTCGTTCCCGTTATGTGGGACGAGAGTGTATCTCAACTCGACCAGCTCCTTCGGTCTTTGCTCCTTGTCAAGATCTGCCGCATGGACCGATTTGTGCCTAGCGCTGAGCGCTTCATCGAGGCCGTGTTCGGCCGCGAGCTCTTCGAGGGTGGTGCCGACCTCAAAGATGTAGTTGACCAAGTCACTGCAACCAGACCCATCGCGCTCAGCTCCAGCCCTGGCTTCGATGCCAGTTACAAGGTCGATGCTCTGGTCGAAGCCACACGCGCAACCTGTGCCAACATCGCCATGGGATCCAACGAAGGTCTCGAAAGCGCCGACAAGGCCATCAGCAACGCAGCTGCAGTCGGTAACTGGGTTCTGGTCAAGAACGTCCATCTGGCGCCTGCTTGGCTGCAGAGTCTTGAAAAGAGACTGGATTCCCTCAAGCCACACAAGGAATTCCGCCTCTTCTTGTCTATGGAATCCAGCCCTAAGATCCCAGTCAATTTGATCCGCGCCTCGCGTGTGCTGATGTACGAACAGCCAGCGGGTGTGCGTGCAAACATGAAGGATTCCCTCTCTTCTTTGAGCGTCAGAGCCAGCAAGGCTCCCGTCGAAAAAGCCCGTGTCTACCTCTTGCTCTGCTTCCTGCACGCCGTCGTCCAGGAAAGACTTCGCTACGCACCAAGTCTTGGATGGAAGGGATTCTGGGAATTCAATGACAGCGACGTAAGTGTCCCTACATCTAATTATTCATCATTAAGATACTAACGTTTACCCCCAGTACGAATGCTCAGCCTTCATCATCGACCACTGGGTCGATTCAGTATCCCAAGGCCGTTCCAACGTTGCTCCACAGAAGATTCCATGGGAGATGATCCGCACTCTTGTCGCAGAGATGTACGGTGGTAAAATCGACGATGCGGGCGATTACCAGCAGCTCGAGAACCTGGTCAATAGCTTCCTTACACCCGCCGCCTTTGAAGACGGATACAAGCTCGTCTCCGGTGTCGAGAACGATAACCTTTTGTCTCTGCCGGAGACCACTAGTATGCGCGACTTCGTCGCATGGGTTAACAACCTGCCCGAGCGTGAACCCCCTACCTACTTGGGTCTCCCTGCCAATGCCGAGAAACTCTTGCTGGTCGGCCATGGCCGTAAGATGATTTCTGATCTCTCGCGGGTTACGACTCTGCTTGATGAAGGAGAGCAGTTGATGGTCGATAACTGATTTGTACTTGTTATTGTGTATTTCTTTCTTCAACGTTCCTAGATGGGTCGTATTCTTGTTCTGAGTTCAATTGTACTGTATTCAGCTTTTGCTCCTTTCTTTGTACATTTTTCTATGAGAATCCGTCCGATCTTTCCTGTACAATCACTTGTAACTTTCACCTCGTTGTATTCTGCACGTATCATTTTACATATTACGAGTCCCAATGAAGCTAAGTGTACTCTGTATCTACGAAGGCATTTTCAGGATATAGTCAGAATAGCATTAAGTATCATGTATACAGTCTGTGGATTATCTGGTCCGCATGATGGAAGAAACAGTCAAACCGATCCTCTAGACATAAACGTAGCAACACGGAAATCATCACAATGAACGCCAACAATAAGATCCCGCAAGGGAGAATGAGGTCCTATGTACGCGAGTTAAGCGGGGCAGCCTTTACGAGATGAAGGTGGACTCAGAGAACATAGTTCCCTCCTCGGTGATCTCCTCGTCGCCGAGCTTCATCTTCAATGACAGCTTGTCCTGGGGCGAGTACTGCGCAATAAAGTTAGATATGATTCTTTTCACAAACAAGAAATGAGGGAAATGGTGCATACCTGGAAGATGTAAGGCCGAGTACCGGCAACACTGCCAGCAATGCTCTTAATGAAGCCTGGCACTTCGGCCATAACGTCGATGCGATCCATTCGCGGGCCGAGGGGACCGTCCACCTCAGCTGTGAGCTCCTTGCCGTCGGTTGTCTTGCCGCTCCACTCCCACTTGATGGACTTGGGCGCGGGCCAGTCACTGCCTTCGTCTTGGCCAGTTTCTGTGTGGGTCACTTTGTTGTGTGTGCCGGCGTAGATGACCTCGCCATCCTTGACAATACCACCGACGTTGACCGTCGTGGAGCCGTAGGAGGGGGGAGTGGTGTACTCCATCATGACGGCGGAGTAGGTGGGGGTCTGGAAATTGATGAAGTTCCAGCGGGCGGCTGTGTTTTTTTTAGTACGGGGTTATTCTGCTCTATTTCTGCACAGGGCTTCTTACCAGCGTGGTGAGGCTTCATGCCCTGCAGGGCCATGATGAAGACACCACGACCTCCAAGATCGTAGGTCTGATCCTTGGTGGCGATGCTACCCTCGACGGAGCATCGGGGCCAGAAAGCGTGGCGCATAGAGCCCCATGGGTTCTTGGCGTCGGTTCCGAAGTATGAGGTTCCGTCCGTGCCGATAACGAAACCGGGTGCAGTCTGGGTGAACTTGAGATCGACCAGGGCGCCGCCGTTGACGGTGGACTTGATGGTGTAGGAGTTACCCTCCTCGTTGAGGGTCAGTGACAGGTTGTCGGCGCCGAAGGAGAGCATGCTCTCGTCGAACATGTAGTTGGAGAGCGGGTCCGAGAACCACTTGTTGTCGCCCTTTCCGCTGCGGTCGAAAATCTTCACGTTGAACTGGGCGGTGGTGTGGATTCCGCTGTAATCGCGATCAAGTTTCAGTGTCAGCTGCTGCAGATTTTTATTTCAGAATAGAAGCTTCAAGCTCTGGGTGTTCCTTACACAATGTTGCTGTAGATAACCTGCACGAAAACCAGGGTTCCATTGTCGGCCATGATGTAGAAGGTTTGGGTCTCAACATTGGTGTAAGAGTATGCGCGCCAGCGCAGAATCTCCTTGTTCACATCGGAGAAGGGAGTTGTCTCGGCTTGCTTCGCAACCGAATGGATAGCCTCTGGGCCATAGATAGGCTCCTCGGTGCCCACCACGGCGGAGAGACTGCCCGCATGGAATCGGTCAGTGTAACCCCAACAGAGAAGGGTCGATCGGAACGTACGTTGACTTCAGCCAGTTCATGATTTCGATAAGTTTGGAGACTTAGAAAAAATGGAGAAGAAAGAAAAAGGAAAAGGGAGGTGAAGGGGAGATCGACACGCGGGGCCCGAGAGTTCTAGTTCGGATGTCGATGGGACTCTCCGGATGATATGGAGATGCACCAAATGGTTGATTTAAAGGATGAGAGTAGAAAGAGTCGATCTAGATATTGAAAATATCAAGATCAAAATGAAGTCAAATGAATTAAGGAGCTGAAGAAGCTTTTGAAAAGAAGAGAATAGCAGGGTACCTTATGACGTTGGGCCATCTCTCTCGCTTCCCACCTTGGCCAATCAGCGTCGACACCTGAAAATCTGCAAATCTTCCAAATTTGATCTCTCTACTTTTGGCCTTTTGGACAAATATCACATATTCTCATCATGTCACGAAACGCATTGGCCAAGGACGTCTTTGTTAAGCTCATTGTTGGAGCTGGTCAGGCCAGTCCCAGTCCCCCTGTTGGTCCGGCCCTGGGAAGTAAAGGTGTTAAGTCCATGGACTTTTGCAAGGTCAGTCTTTGTTTACCCTTAGCTGTTTCAATATATTAACCATCTCCTTAGGAATTCAATGCCCGCACAGCTCACATCAACACCGGTGTCCCAATTCCCGCGCGTGTTACTGTCCGCCCCGACCGATCTTTCTCCTTTGAACTCCGCACCCCAACCACCACCTACCTTCTGCTCAACGCGGCCAATGTCGAACCCCGAAAGAACCGACTGCGTGGTGCGATGAACCCCGGCCACGATGTTTGTGGCAAGATCTCCCTTAAGCACGTTTACGAGATCGCCAAGCTCAAGCAAACCGAGACGCGGTTATCAGGCTTGTCCCTGGAGGGATTGTGCAAGAGTGTCATGTCCCAGGCCAAGTCCATTGGTATCCAGGTCGTCCCCTGAGCACAAGGACACAAGACTTGTATAATTATTGATCATTCCAGTAGTGCTCCAAGGGGCCTACTTGTTTTGATTTGAATCCTTTTACCCGGCGTTTTCTGGGAAATGGGGGGTTTTTTTCCTTCCCCCTGCTGTACGATACCGATTATTTTTATTTTCCAGTTTGTATGCCATATCTGTCAATCCAAGGGATAATTTGCATCGAAACTTGCATGGGGTTTAGAGTACTTAGGGTACTAGGTTTACTAAGTGTACTTAGAGTGACTTGTTAAATGTCAAATATAGACCGGTTAATCAATTGACTTCAGGCTATGTGATCACACGCTCAATCCCACCATGCAAAGTTGAGACACCGGGCTTTTAGAGCACGTTTCTGAGAACTGGTCGGTGATTAAATGGCCAAGAGAAAGACTATGGACTATGAGGTCACCAACTTCAAGCCCGGAGCGGAGAACTTGGCATATGTGACTCAGTCCGACCTCTTGGCACAGCCAAGAATGTGTACAACGTAGACATCTCATGATGCTTGGCATGAAGTTTAGGAAAGAGTCTGGAGAATCTGGAGAGATTTGGGGGTCTGATAAATATGGCTGGGGAAGCCCTCTGTATGGAGTAATGGAGTCACCAGATATACTAATCCTATTTAGGTAATATTCCAGATGGCCCAAGACCTGGCCTGCAGGTAACAATGTAATCCTCCGTACGTAGACCGGGAAGTCGGCACGAGGTCATCATCTTTCAGCTCTCCGCCGCCATCCGCCTTATGAGGTAAGGCATTTTCTCAAGGTAAATTATAGTAAATTTAACATATAATTGACATGTCCATCTGATAAATAAAAAATACTACAAAAAAAAAAAAGTACAACATAGAACTGTTAGAGAGAGTAAACCCCCCCCCCCCACTCGCCCCCAAAAGTCAAGTTTGCCTGAGGCCCAGACTCTCTCAATATCTCCCCTCTTCTCATCTTTCTTTTCTTCTCTTCATCCTCTTCTCTACATTTTATTTAGAATCCGGGATACCCGGATTTCCGGATTCCTTGACCAGACCCGGGGTGTTCTTGATCGCATTCGGCGGAAAAAAAAAGTTAAAATAGGGAAAGATTTGCCTCTCGCATAACTCTTTTAACTTATTGGACTTTGAGAACCCCCAATTCTGCGAACTTTGACAGCATCTGAACTGGTCCTCAGTTCGTGATCTAGGATCTTTCAAAGCTCCCGTCGTGAGGGGCATGTGTTCCACGTTCCGAGCTGGTGTCGAAGACTATGACGTCTGAACTGACTGATACCACACCCAAGATGGATTCAGGTATGTCTTGGCTGATCGCTTATGATGCTGTATCCTAAATTCTTTGCCAACCGTCTGACGCATGTTTATCTCTCCAGAATCCCATACTATGCACGACCCCGCCAAGATTCCCGGCCAGGCCCCGGAGCCCGGTGACGCCGACGCCAAGTCCAAAGCCCAGCCTACCCAGGTCCGTTTCTCCTCTATTACAGAGGAAATTGAACCAGATCAACCCGGACTGTCCCCTGTACCAGAGCAACCGCTACGATCTCTATCAGAAGAGCGAAAGCAAGCTTCGGATGAGGAACAATTACGGTCGCTGGCGATGAGTATGCAGGGCGCACAGCTTCAGGAGTCGCGCCTGCGCAACTTCTCTTTTGACCCAATGTCTCTTCCTTCCTCCAGGGTATGTCATATCTCTCTCTGATTTGCTATCGGATGTTCTTCCGAGTGTTCCAATCTCTTCTTGCTTCAAAGGATATCTATTTCCCTTCGTCCGGCTCTGAGAGACTTGGGACGGTGGCAACCTCGTCATTATATTAACTTTGGATCTTTATAGGTTGCATCTCGAGACTCGAGTGTTCGTAGCGGACATGGCACCGGTGCCTTTGCCTCTCCACATGCGTCTCCTCCGGTTTCTGCTGTACAGTCACCTCCTCTTACTCCAGCTGCAACGCATTCTCGCGAAGGCAGAACCAGCGAGAGTGCCTCTCTGAAATCTACCAGCCGACCCCACGTGCAGACTAATTTCACTCCTGAAGCATCACCACCAGTCGGATCGACCGACCAGAACGGCTCGTCTAGACCCTCATCCTCCCGACCCGTGTCCACCGATCATCTACCCACCAGAAAAAGTGAAGGTTCGGATCGAGCTCCTCATGCCATTCAATTACCGAGACATCGTGCACAATTCTTTATTGGAAATGATGGGGGCTCCCAAGAAGAAAGCCCCCCGCCCACTCCAAGAGAGTCTCTTACCCCGCCAGGGATTATGACCCCTGTAGGCGAACCTAATGATCCATATGCGCGCCACAAGCGACCACCCCAGTCCAAAAACCTTGCCCAATTGGATCCCCGGTTTATCTTCAGCGGTCGGGATGTCAAGCGAGCACTTCGTCCGGGAGCTCCCCGATCCACCAGCGCAAGTGACCTCAGCAAATCTAGTGACAAGCGGAGTTTATTTGGTTCCAAGAAGGAGCAGGGTGACAAGCTCCAGGGCCACCAGCATCAGGGCTCTATGTCTGATCTGAAACGATTCTTCAAAATTGGCCATCGCAGTAAGCGATCCGAGTCCCCGTCGTCTATGCCTAAGAAGTCGAGTCGATCATCTGGAAAGTCCACTCCGTATCAAATGGCTCCAGACAATGTTCCTTTTGCCGATGATCATGGTCTGAATTCCAAGTATGGAAAGTTGGGCAGGGTGCTCGGATCTGGAGCTGGTGGCTCCGTGCGTCTTCTGAAGCGCAACAGTGACGGCGTCACCTTTGCAGTCAAGCAATTCCGAGACCGTCACAACTGGGAGACCGTGAAGGAATACTCTAAGAAGGTGACTGCAGAGTTCTGTATTGGCTCCACCTTGCACCATGGCAATATCATCGAGACTTTGGATATCATCCAAGAAGGCCCTCGCTGGTACGAGGTCATGGAATATGCGCCGTTCGATCTGTTTGCTATCGTGATGACAGGCAAAATGAGCAAGGAGGAGATCGCCTGCTCTTTCAAGCAGATTTTGAGCGGTGTGGCGTACATCCATGGCATGGGTCTGGCCCATCGTGATTTGAAACTGGATAATGTGGTGGTGAATGACCGTGGCATCATGAAACTCATTGATTTCGGAAGTGCCGTCGTGTTCCGCTATCCATTTGAGAACGACATTGTCCCTGCTTCAGGTATGTATTCTTTTATACTTTTCGGTCATAGTTGATGGTTATTGATTCGTATGAAATAGGTATCGTTGGCTCAGATCCCTATCTTGCCCCCGAGGTCTACGATGAGAAGAAATATGACCCCCGCCCCACGGATGTTTGGTCGCTGGCGATCATCTTCTGCTGTATGACCTTGCGCCGGTTCCCATGGAAGCAACCGCGCATGACCGACAACTCATACAAGTTGTTCGTTTCCAGCCCGACCCCGGGCACCCCGGTTCCCGAACCTGACAACCGCCGTCGGCCCAAGTCGACACCCGATCTTCCTTCCCAAGGCCACGACAATAAACGTTTGACTCCTCGCTCGAGCGGACCTTCCGATCAGTCTGGATCGGAGCAGAATGGAAACGGGAATGAAAACACAGACGGAAACAAAGCAGAGCCCTCTCAGAAGGACGGTGATCGCTCTCCCGATGCTGCTCAAAAACAGATCAGCGAAACCAGCAACAGCCCCCATGAGCGGCCCACCCGCACGACCAGCAAAGAGGCACCACCTCCTCTTCCCACATCATCCCAGAATTCTGGGCAGCGCCAGGAAGTCATCAAGGGCCCGTGGCGACTTCTCCGGATCTTGCCGCGGGAAAGTCGGTACATCATTGGCCGCATGCTGAAGACCAACCCGAAAAACCGAGCGACACTCGACGAGGTAATGTCGGATGAATGGATAAAGAACATTCATGCATGTCGACAGGATGGGACTGGTGAAATCATCAGTGCCCCCGGTCACACTCACGTCCTCGAGCCCCCCGCCCAAAGCCCTGCCGTGGCCAGCAAAGCTACGAGGGCTAAATAATTATCCCTTCTTTGTATCAATTTCTCCTCGTGTCTATATATCCCCTTTATCCTTTGAGAACGGGGTGGCACTTTTGCCCCTTACCTTTCGCGTTTACTGTGTGATTCCCTACGAGTACTGTAGATGATTTTGGCGGTCTCCCTCATTCCCCGGGCCATGTTTGAGATGAGTTGATATTCTTGAATAAACTTCTGTGACATTTTCTCGCCCTCGAGTTTCTCTTGTGAAGATCTTCAAGAAAACGGAGCACTGGCTCTGGCTCGACGGTGAATGTTACTGATAGACTTGATGTGGGATCTCGATATGTTTTTTTTTTTTTTTTGTTTTTTTCCCCTTTTCAGCATTCTATTGTCAAAGCTCACGCCTGAGAGAGCTTTACTTTCTTAACTAGTAGATACATGTCAATACACACATACAACATACTGTATATTCTTTTGGATTGGACCTGTAGCAGATATCGGCGATATCGGCGATATCGGGTGGCCTCACCGCGGAGCAAAAGAAACTGCCAGCCGCGGAGCTTCTCCGTTGAGCCCGCTTCTCTCTAAACATACTTGCTCCCTTCCTACACCCAATTGGCCATGATCTTGTGATAGAACGATTTCCACATCCAATCATATCTTACAAAAATGGCCCAACCTGACGGGGAGCCATTGGTCTCCTCCCTGTGGACGAGGTCACTAATTGTAACCTTCACCCAAGCTCTTCCCAGGACCGAGGATCCCACTAACAGCTCTACAACTATATAGTCCGGCGCAATTGCAGGTCTCACCGTCGACTGCTCCCTCTACCCCCTCGACACCATCAAAACCCGACTCCAGAAAGCACGCGACCACACCGCACCTCAAACTAAAGTCTCACTACGCCAAACCTTCCGCGGTATCTACGCCGGCCTCCCATCCGTCCTCTTTGGCTCCGCTCCCTCCGCTGCCTCCTTCTTCATCGTCTACGATGGCGTCAAGCGCACCCTCCTCCCACCCCAACCCATCGGCAGCAAACCCAACCCCCAATCCCGCTCCCACATAATCCTCACACACTCCCTCGCCTCCTCCCTCGGCGAAATCGCCGCATGCGCCGTCCGCGTCCCAACAGAAGTCATCAAGCAGCGCGCCCAAGCCGGTCTCTTCGGCGGCTCGAGTCTCCTCGCACTAAAGGACATCCTCTCCCTGCGACACGCGGCCCCAATAAATACAGCATCGCCCTCAACCCCAGCAGCGAAGCGCGGCTACAGCCAGGTCATCCGCGAACTCTACCGCGGCGCAGGTATCACAATCGCCCGCGAGATCCCCTTCACCGTGCTGCAATTCACAATGTGGGAGTCGATGAAGGAAGCTTACGGCAAGCGGTACCTGCGAACCGCGGAGACGGCCTCGTCTCTCGCCGAGACGCAGATCCCCGCTTCGACGAGCGCCATGTTCGGCAGTGTTGCCGGTGCTATTGCGGCTGGTTTGACTACCCCGCTAGACGTGATTAAGACGCGGGTTATGCTTGCGCGACGTGGAGACGGGGGCGTTGAGGCGCCTGTTCGTGTTAAGGAGATTGTGCGCGGGATCGCGCGTGAAGGACCAGGTGCTTTCTGGCGTGGTATTACGCCGCGTATCACCTGGATTGGTATTGGTGGGGCTGTGTTCCTGGGGAGTTATCAGTATGCTTCGAATACTCTTGAGGGACGTCGGGAGGTGCAGGCGGAGAAGGGTCTTTGATTGGATATTTTTGGCCTTGGGGTTTGTATATTATTGCTATATAGAAGGTTGGAAGAACATAAATTCTAGATCCTGGGAAGCGAGTTCGTTTGGCAATTATATATGTCATTTTGTTTACTTGCGACTCCCCGGCTGGGCGTTAAGCATCTAGCTCAGTTCCTGGGCTTGTTCGGCAGTCAGGAGTTCTTCTATCATCTTTTTGCGCAGGAAATCGTGGTCTGCACTCAAGCCTAGGACAACAAGCTTGGGGGACTTGTTAACCGTTTCTCTCAATTTGAAGATGTAGATCTAGTTATATACGCAAAACCTGCCTCACTAATCAACTACCCATTCCATCCTCTCCCCAACCTCAACACCAGGCCCAACAACGAACGTTCCAACCCGCGCCCTGGCCTTCTCGGAACTACATCCCCGCTGAGCTAGCTCGTCCGCGTGGATAATAACCTACCGCCCCCACCCGCACTGCTAGACATGTACCGTGAGACTCTGATTGCGGTGGAAAACACCTAGTACGCGTTGCGGTATGATAAGGTAGAGAATCTCCAGCTTGCGCAGCGGGTTTCGATATCCGCGTCTATGTCTGTGTCTGTGACTAAGGTTCTTGGTTGTTTGTAAGCAGATCTCGATCCGTCTCGGAGAAGTAGCCGCCTTCTGGATGCGGGTGGAGGTTTAGCGCATTGATGGTGGACTAGATTGCGGGTGGCTCTGCTTCTTGGGTTGGATTTGGAGGTGGGTATGGCCGGGTTTTTTTTGTTGAGAAATTGAAATGTCCATTCTCCTTTACGTTCGTCCTCGGGGCATATGATAGATAGATATATTATAGAGGTTGGGGAGATGGGGGGAGAGACACTGGGGGTGTAACAGTGGCGAACAATGACGAAGAGTATACGATGTTTAGCCTTGTCTGGATCTTATACTCCTTTAAATAGGTTAGATACCCCACTATAGAAACTTGTTTATTCACCTTGATAGTGTCTGACAGTATATAGTATGTCTATACTAGGACTGGGCATACTCTTTAAGTGAATAGCCTTTATCAAACCTTATCTGAGGCCGAGTACATCTGGATATATTAACAAAAACACTTAGTCTACAGCAAATATGTCTATTATACTTCAAGAGGCATCATAGATGCTAGATAGAGTTCTTCCTAAGTGCACCTGGCAGCTTACTAGAGCTTACCTTCTTGGCAAAAGCGGTCTCATCGCATGCCATCAGCAGAAGTAAATAATCAGCCGATCAACCTGGAACTCGTGCTGATCTTCTTGAGATACAGGTGATGTACGCCTTGTCCCCTGTTGCCTGCCAGGCCCTCGATCTTCGAACAGATGCGAACTGTAGCCTTCTCAGAGCCCCAAGCCGACCCCTGTCTTGGCGATGCAGCCCATGGTTTGGCACGAGCTTAAGGGTCTCCATCCATACGGGAGCAGAAACGGCTTTTGATTTGACGGCAAATCTGTTGGATCTTAGATTTCCCTCAAGTCATTTGGGGGTTGGATGATTTCTGAAATGAGGGATCTTGTGGGTCTGTAGAGTAATATATATAGTTGCATATCTCTAAGGGGGCAGTGTATAGTGAAATAGCCACAAATAACCGAGCATCCCAGAAAGGGAAATGGGAAGTTTCCCTGAATGAACTAGAAAAATATTTCGATCAGTTTTATCCTACTTCAATCAAATTAGCAATCCAAGGTTGTATTTGATACTGCCCTGAAGCAAAATCACATAGGCAGCGAAGTATAAACATCCGCCCCTGGCGCCTCCAAATCTGGGAAACTTCCCCTCATTCAAGCATCTTCTCTTTGTCGCCTCTTTTTTTTTTTCTCTCTTGACCATTTGAACTTCATTTTTCTCGCGAATGGCCCTCTGACGTCTACGTCCCCAAATCTCAACGTGCGATCGGCCAGGGCAGATAAGCTCCGCATTCGCATCTCCGCAATTGGTTTCACTCCTTCAACGCTGCATGTATGGCACGAAAACTGAGCCACCAGAGGGTCACCTATGGTAAGTTGAATCCTGTGTATTCTTCTCTCAGATCGCTAACTGGCTCTCTGCTAGTCCTCCCTCTACCTGATGCGCCAGGTGGCCACCGGTTGGGGGTCAATGGTCTAACCGTCGATCGCCAAAACTCCATCCTGTAAGTATCTCCCCTTTATTATGCTGGGATCCTGGATTCAAATTTGAACGGTTGCCACGTTTGCGATCACGATCTTTTGGAAACCAGGCCCCCCTACACGTGGGTTGCACGGATACTAACATGGTGTGTCCCCTCTCTCAGATACTCCGCGGGTCGCGACGGCGTCATCTGTTCCTGGGATCTCGACTTTCCTCTTCCCTCGGCCCCCGAGGAAGCGTCGCCTCCTGACCAAAAGCCTAGACCGACTGGCTTCAAAACCCAGGTTCAAGCGCATAGCCACTGGATCAACGACATAGTCTTGGCACAGGACAACTCCGCTCTCGTTTCCGCCTCGTCCGACACAACCGTGCGACTCTGGCGCCCGCATTCCGAGTCCACAGAAGTGCCAGAGCGCATTGGAAAACATACTGATTATGTGAAGGCCCTGGCGAGCCCCGGGAGCCACGCCACTTGGGTTGCCTCGGGCGGTCTCGATCAAAAGGTTTATCTTTGGGATTTGAATGGCGGCGGGGAGGTTTTGAACATCAATGCCGGTGGAGAAGATTCCACAGATAAGGGGTCTGTTTATGCGCTGGGCGCGGTCTCGTCGGTGCTCGCTAGCGGTGGCCCTGAAAATGTCGTCCGAGTATGGGACCCCAGGTCCGGGAAGCTGGTGACCAAGTTCGTCGGCCATACGGACAACATTCGTGATATTATGATTAACCAGTCCGGCGATACAATCCTGACGGGATCGTCTGACCAGACGATCAAGATCTGGTCTCTCACGGCGGGTCGATGCATGAACACCCTGACCATGCACAATGATAGCGTGTGGTCTCTTTACTCAGACCACCCTGATCTCTCTGTCTTCTATTCAAGTGACCGATCTGGCTTGGTGGCGAAGACCGACATGCGAGGGTCGGCCGATCCCGACCAGGGCATCAGCGTCGCCGCACTACAAGAGCACGAGGGCGTTGTCAAAGTTGTGGCGGCGGGAGACTACATCTGGACAGCTACCCCCAAGTCTAGCATCCACCGCTGGCGAGATGCTGACACCACACTTGGAATCGAGCCGCCGCCAGACCCAGCCCAAACTACAGACTCTGCCACAGCGCCCGCAACCCCTCCAGAGAAGGGACCCAAGAAGATTCCATTTAATTCTGTTTTGCAGTTATCAGCGACCTCGATTCTCGGTGGCTCATCCCGTAAACTGAATTCTACGGAGCCTAACCTGGAAACAATTGGCCTAACGATCCCGGTTCATTCACAGCCCGAGGAAACAATTGAAGGCCAACACGGCTTGATCAAGTGCTTGATGTTGAATGATCGGAGACGCACACTTACTCAGGATTCGGCAGGAGAAGTTGTTCTCTGGGACCTGCTGAAGGTAAGTTGGTTACATCTCAGCTGACAAGTATACGACATCCACTGACATGAACCTAGTGTATCCCTGTCCAAAGCTTCGGCAAGCGTCATATAGACGATGTTGAGTCGGAGGTTAACACCGTTGATAGTATTGGACATTGGTGTACCGTCGACGTGCGTACTGGCCGGCTATCAGTCATTCTGGAGCCCAATCGCTGCTTTGACGCAGAAGTTTATGCCGACGAGATCGATTTGCCACTATCTGATCTGTATCAGTTTAGAGACGATCAAAGAAGTGAGTATCCTATTTTCTTTTTGCTCTGCTGTCAACCTTTGCGAATATTATTTACCATACTGACAACACGCAGTCAATCTCGGCAAATGGATTTTGCGTTGGCTGTTTGCTCCGGTAGTGGACGAGGAAATCCGACGAGATAACGAATACCGCGAAGCTGCCACCGCGAGAGCAGAAGAACATGCTCGACTGAATCCGCCGAGTACATCAGTACCTGGCGACGATATCCCTCGCAGCGTTGGCATCCCGATATCAAATTCTCATCTCAGAACGAATCTGCGTTCCAGCTCAGATTTCCCCGGTAGCCCGGGCGTCGGCTTTGGAATCAATGTTGGCACACCATCGTCAAACTACTTGAGTACTTCCATGCAGAGCAATCCCCCGTTCCCAGGGTTTGAACCAGAAACACCTGATGCCATGCCAACAAATTCCCACCTCGATGGCGGGCCATCATCCTTCTCATCAAACGACTATTTCTCGAAAAGGCCTCTAGCGGCTGCACAAACAGACGCGGACAAGTCTCTTCTATCTCCGTCGGATACGAACTCAAATGCAGGAGTTCCCCAATCCCCCGCAGAGCCCGATAAGGAAGAGCGGAAGAAGGGTTCACTATTTGGAAAGAAGTTCCAAATGAATTTCCCTAAGAAGTTAGGTCGTAATTCTACGGAGACAAAGCCTCAGATATTGGAAGAAAAGGCCGAAGAGTCCGAGATCTCCTCCATCAAAGAAGAGAAGGTGTATGAGCCCAATCTCTGTGGTGTGGTTGACCGCATGCATGATGATTATGAAGAATTCCTGGCTACAAATCCAGGTCGGGAATTGGAGACGGCTCTTTTGCCCAGTGGTGACGATGAATCCCCGCGACTGGAGATTCCACCTCGAACTGCAGTCTTCATCCAGGAAGAAACCGGCGATACTGCCGTTGCTTCGGATCTATACAGAGGTAGCGTGGACCGCATTGGCGAAGACCTCGAAAGACTCAAGAAGTCAATTCCTCATTGGCTTGGTGAGCTTCTTCTGAAGGTGAGTCTATTTTCCCGTGATATTTTGCTTTCTCTCTTGCTAATCATTCGTTATAGAATCAAATCCCCTTCAAGGAGCAGGTCAAAATTGCCTTTGTATTGAAGCCCTTTGATGATACCTTGCCGCCAGTCGTCAAGCCCGAACCGTATGTTTCGGATCTTCTCTCCCCTTGTACTGGGTGTTGTTGGTGAAACTAATCTCGTTAATACAGGCCGGCTCCTAACGGCGCCCCTCCGGGCACTATGAACACCAATAACAATGGCTCTCGTCTCAATGCCAACCGCATGCTCCGAACGAAGAAAATCCTCGCTTATGTCGCAGAGCGCATTGACCCTGCAAACCCGGATGAACCAGCAGAGTCCATTATGCCACCAGAGGAGTACCTCGAGCTCTACTGCCAGAAAATGGTAATCTCCCCCTCGTTTTGTACAGTCAATCATACTAATCGTCTCCCACCAGCTCTGCCCACCAAACATGACTCTAGCAACGATTCGCACGCATCTCTGGCGCACCTCAGGAGATATGGTCCTCCACTATAAGACGAACGGCAAGAAAGAGATTCACCCTCCCCGGTCTCTCCTGGGAATTGATGAGAATCACGTCCTCGCGGAAGAAACCCCTGTGACGAACGGGGATAGCAATGGACATGCACCCCCTGGTAGTATCCATTCCGTGACCAACTCTGGCTCTATCGCAGGCTCTGCTATTACCTAGTGAGAAATACTAGTCCATGGGACCTTTCTGGTCTCCTATTTATTGTTTCCCTTTTCCCTGTTCCTTTTTTGTTTTCTTCAAACGGTACATTTGATATTTGGCCTACGCCAATCCTGTATGGATCTCCAGTACATATGGGCGAGATATTTATTTTTTGCTTTTTTTCTTTGCTGTATCGCATCTCCTATTTCTCTTCATATGGGTGTTAGCGCATCTGCCTTGCTTGGCTATTGCTTTGGGCCTTTCTTTTTTGCCTCGAGGCTTGCGGTTTGGATTCTCATGTAATCTTGTTGATGTCACCGTCAACACTGGCGAAGAATCGAATTTTCGGATGCCCCAAGATGATTATTGGTGGAGAGAGAAAGGTCCGGCGTATTTTGTTGTAATATCCGTTCTGGTCTCTAACCGATTACACGAATAGACCTAGGAGAAGCTGGCGTACTACATACTAATCTCACTGATGCATCCGGATTCTATCTTGAGACTCGATTATTCGCTTCGACACATGATGCTCTGAGGACGGACTCTCGGAAAAGGAAAACAATTGCATTGCATGACTATAAAAAACATGGACTATAGTTATAACCCCAAGCTTGAACGACCATCACCCTCTGCCTTATAACAACCACACTATATCCACCTGAAAATCCTCCAAGTCCTCCGTCAAACAGCCAGTCTCACATTTCCCCCACCCCCAACTACCCCCATCTCAACAACCCATCTAGGTACACCCCGAAGCACGATTGCTAAGACAAACATCACCACCCTGATCCCCACTCCCATATCCCTCACAAGAAGCACTAGACTTCCCCTCCGCCTTAACCTCCTCATTACAAGCCGTCCAAGTAGTCGAGAAAAACCCAGCCCGAACACTATAAGTCGACCAACTAACACAGCAACTCGACCCACCCTGCTGCTCACAATGACTGCGCGGTGCCTTCCCAATCTGCTGATCAAACTGACAAGTCGTACCAGAGATACAAGAAAACACAGTCCCGCACGCACTCCACAACACAGCATGTGCAGCGCTAGTCGAGAAGCTTGATCGCTTGGAAATCCCCTTCGCGACAGTGCCATTCCCAGCAACGTGCGCAAGCAAGGATTCCACGTCGCTTGCCATGTCGGCGTCGTTCTCGTCGTATTTCTTCGCGTAGGCGGCTTCCGTTAGCATGCGTGCTTTTTCTTCGTCTGTGCTCGCTGAGTGCGGGTTCAGGTCTGTGAGCCAGGACTCGGTGTCAGGGGAATAGTTCACGTAGCGGACGTCCACGTCGAAGGCGCTTAGGTCGCTTTTTGAGTTCGGGAAGTAGTCTGAGGCGACGTGGTTGATGAGGAAGCTGGTTGAGGGGGTTTGGGTTGAGGGTAGGGCGATGCCGGTTGTTAGATGGGAAAGACCCAACAGGAGGGTGGCTATGAGGGGGGTGGAGAGCATCTTGGAGAAGAAGATGGGGTTGGTTGAGTGATGTTGAAGGATTCTGAAGATGATTGTTTGATCTGTTCTGTTCTGGTTGGAAGTTCTATTTCCTCCGTTCTTTCTCGAGGTTCTTATAGTTTGGGCTTCTGTCTGTGTAGTCAGTGAGATGCACCTGGTCGAGGAGGTTGCCCTGACCAAACAGGCAATTGCTATGCGGACGATGTCCGCTGCTGATGCTTTTTGCTCAAAATTGGGTATACGTGGGGTTACATCCACACAGATAGGAGATGCATGATGTCGTTAGGGCTTACTATTCTCGTATCCCATGCCGACGAGACAGTTGCCTTTGTGGGATTGGACTATTTGTCTCGCACTAGTTGAGAGGCGTTGAGGATGGCGGCGTTCCCTTCACATTTCCATGCATGGTGCCCAGCTAAAATGGGTTGGAGAATAGCGCTGATTGTGGCTTGCAGATCGAGTAAGCTCATGGTGTGATAGTATACAGATAGGTTTAAGGAATGGAAGCCAGGCAATGAAGGAGGTTTCTGACTGCGTCAAGCAAAACTTGTTTTACTGCATTTTCTGATTTCTAATCAATGTGCAGAGTATAGAATAGAATATAATAGGAAGAGTCATAATATGGCACTGTCAAAACAAGGAATAAAAACAAGACATAGACCCCCCTGCATAATACGGCAAATTCCGCATTCGGTATGCAACTCATTCTTATATTAGCTTAGCCAAAGGCAGAAACAAGCTAAGCCAAGCCTGCAGTAGAGTGCCAATAGTGTTATTAAGATAAATCCAGACTAATTTAGGGCTGACAGTGATCGACGAACTCCGTTTCTCCCTGGAGATCAGCCGTCCCACGTGGCGTTTTCCCCGTGACTCAGTCCCTCTTTTCACTCGAGGCCCCGGGAGTAATATCAGTGCTCCCACATGAGCGACATCGAAGAGTTGTGGCATGTTTGAAATTAAAGGGCCAGTAGCGGGTTGTCAGAAACACGATAGTCGGGATAGAGAGCATCCAGATAGAGGCTAAGATGAGGAAGGTCTGAAAGGGGGCTGCTTCGAGTCGTTCCCCGATGAAGGTACTGCAATGCAGTAGGAATGTTTTGGGTGAAGCTGACAGTGCCATGATGGGGTGGGTTGTAGCTCGGCGTTCAGAGGGTAGGAATGTTCAGGATGAGGGAGAGGTTAGAGAGGTTGATCTGGGGAGGGTATAGTCCGGACTCCGTATATTCCCAGACAAAGTCCAAAAAATAAGCGTCTGCCTAGAGTTCAAAGAATGGAATGTCTCGGATCTGCAGTCCCAAATAGGAATTCATCTCGTACGGCCCCGTGCATGCATGACTATATGGGATTTTCCCAGGGCTTTCCTACTTGAGCTGCTTTATAATAGTGCTTAGGGAAGTAGATCTCAGCACGCTCAGAGTGATGCTTTAATCACGTGTAGAATGACCCTTAGTGCTTAGTGAGTGCTCATTACTCCTACCTGCATAAGAGCCCTCGGCATTCCTGTCATCACAATAGAACAACATTGAAGGCATAAAATATCTATTATTGTTCGAGTAGCCAGATCAGTCTTACTCTTACTCTTCCTCTTCCTCCTCTTCCTCTTCCTCTTCGTCTTCTTCCTCTTCCCCCTCTTCCCCCTCCTCTTCCTCTTCTTCTTCCTCCTCCTCCGCTCTTGGAGCACTCCTCATAACACCCTTACTTGTAGATTTTACAGGCGGCTTGGTGGTCGTTGGCTTCGGCTTCGGCTTCGGCGCGGGCTTTGGCGTAGTAGTTCTCTCTGATATCCCAATTGCCATATACCGGAAGGCAGTGACGTGACCAACACTGCCAAAGATTCCTACACTGAATCCCTCGCGATCAACAGCCGGGCGACCCTGGCCCAAGAGGTAGATCCAGTTCTGTTTGAAGGGGCGCGAGGGATCAGTGCCAAAGTCCGGGGTAATCTGCACATGTGGCAGGTGTTTGAAGGGCTTTTTGAAGGCAAATCGTGTTGCCCTTCCATCCTGGTAACGCGTGACACTTCCTGTGCCGGCTTCGATGGCTGTGATCTGGAGCCCGTGTTCTGCGTCCCAGACTTGACCTACACCCGTTTCACGTTAGAACCGTCACTTCCAAGGTTGGGAGAAGAGATTATATCGGCTTACTCACCGTAAGCACTCATTTTGGTTCTCAAGATGACTTTGGCTTGGAAAGTTTAGAGGCTAGGAATAATGGTGTACCTAGAAGGATTGATTGGTATGGCCGATAACTTATTTATACGTCTATGGCAGAAACGGAAGTCTAGTAAATTTTATAGAAATCTAGACAAACTTGCGCTCGATACGCCATTGGATGCAACTAGGCGATGTAACTGAGACATTCAACTGATTTCATGAAGGCTTTGCAGTCGAACACATTTCCTGTGGTAAAAGTGTATAAATCGAGTCTGCTCAAATACGCATGTAGCTTGGTTTATGGGCCCGGGTTATTATTCTTGAATGTAGTCTATTCTACCGGTAAATTGGTCAACTCGACTTTAATATTTGACAGAAACAAGCCGGGTGTACTTGATTTCTGTTGGTTTATAAGAGTCTACAGTCGATTGACACTATAATTCAGCCTTGTTCGGGATCCGTCCTATTTCGGCTTTCCGCTTATATTCTCCTTTGTCCTATAAGAGGGTTGCACCACCATATAGTGGTATCGTCACAGAGGCTGTCCCTAGTCATTGAGGTCATATTATTGACAAGTGGCCCTTAACTGAAAATCTTCCAAGTTGAAGCTGCTAACACCCCTTACACTATCAGTGAGATGAAGTGGAGTGGATATTCCCAGGTATGTTAAACACAACTAGCCCCTATAATGCCATCAACTATATTGTATGCATGACATTATGGGGTTCGGGGTTTAGATACGATCCAGATGTACATTCTAGGTCTTCTCGACTAGAGCGCTTTCAAGGCTTGCTTGACCACATTCTTCACTGGGGTTTTCTGGACTAGAGTCTTGTCGCCATGTGTGTTATCTTGATCCGGTGTCGAATGATCACACCTAGAAAATTTACCGTCCATTTTGGCGTGGGTTCTAGGGTCATTGAACTCACATGGAGGGTGAATCATAGAATGCTGAATTATGAGTCTAAATCGTCTTAGTACCCAACTTCTATGCGCTTCCGAAAACGGAACATCAATACTCTCATTATTTCCTACAAGGAGCAAAAGAAAGGTAGTATAGCTTCTGCGGGTAAGCAACTAGGGCTTAATTTCCAAGGCCCGGCTTCTAGGTATCTTTGCAGATCATGTTACAGAGAATTCATCAAGGGGTAAGCCAGAACACTTGCGCTAGCTATTCATGATGTAGCAGTCATACAGTAGTATGGTTCGAAGAGTAGAAAGAAGGATGGATGGTGAGGATGGTGATGCCATCAAGGTAAAACGGGTACAATATATTCTTTCCACTTTACGGAAATTCGACTATACATTCAATCTTTAATTTTGTCTTCACCTTCAATCATACTCTAGAAAAGCCTTTCTTCCCAAAACAAGAAGAAAAAAAAGAAGACAGCAAAAGAGAAAATGGCATCTCCCGAAGGCGATTACTGGTTCCACCACGCCGTCCTCAAATCTAGCAAATTCGACCCCAAAGACCCCAAGCAATTCTATACAACAGCGTTCTTAGAATTTGCATCTAATGTCGTTTATGATGAAGGGTTCATTGTACCAATGATTCCTTGGGAGGGTCATCCCAGGACCAGAAAACAATTATTGCACGAATTTTGGAGAACAACATATGCTCGCCTCGAATACACGACGGCGATGGTCGGCCCCACGAATAAAAAGATCTCCAGATCTAGAAAGATTCAAGGTACTGACGACTACTATGGGTTGTACACCCGAACCAACGAGACCAAAGTGGCATTGGTGCCTGTGTACATGCCGACCTGGGATGAACGATACCTTTGGGTGGATCTGACCTACCCATTGAGAGCAATCTACTTCCCCAAAAGACACCTGGCCAGTCCCAAGTACACAAACTCTTGTGTATACTCGCGATTGAACCTCCGTGAGAAGTCTGTCACTTTGCAAGCACACGAGCTCAACCCAAATGAGGCACCGAGTGACCTCAACACTGGAGGTGACTTCCAGAGTCGATCTGTCAAATCGGCGCAAATCGAATACCGAAAAAAGCATGGATTTGGCATGCAGAATTATGCAAAAGTCTCTCCGGACGAGAAACTCACCACAAAGTCGATCACAATCAAACCGGATCCATTCAAAGGCTGGGATAATCGGCCACAATGGACCGCGCGGTTTGACGTGCGCACGATCATGTTTGTTGTCAGCTTGCCCGACAACCTGCTCAAGCCAGAGTATATCGACCCGTATCATTTTATCGAACTTTTCGACTGCAGACATATTGATCTTGTTGGGGGGGAGAAGGGAATTAGTATGAGCACCGACGATTCATTTGATTATTTGCGAGTTCTGAGTGATGAGAATGGCATGAAATTGGCTTTAGAGAACAATGGCTTTGACTCGCAATGGTTGGCCAAAACTTTGTCAGGCATTGCGTTGGTTGGCGTCGGATGTATCCCAATGGTTGGACCTCTAGCTGCTCTGGCAGGTACGTTGATCGTGGATGCGCTTTTGGACCCCAGTGTGTTCGCCAAAGAAAAGTTTTCTGCCGATAGGCTACCAGTGGTTGTCGCTGCTTTCGTGACCTCCGCTATTGAAGCGAAAGGTTATGTGAAGGAATTGAAAGCTGCAAAGAAGATTGTGTCAAAAAAGCTATTGGTTGAACAGGGGGAGCGGAAAGCTATCGAAGTTGGCAACGAGGAGCCCGAGGACAATAAAGACGAACCTGAGGATAACGAAGAACCTGAGAATAAAGAAGAGCCCGAGGATAGCGAGGAAGAACCTGAGGACAGCGAGGAGCCTGAGGACAACGAGGAAGAACCTAAGGACAACGAGGAAGTACCTGAGGACAACGACGAAGTACCTGAGGGCAACGCAGAAGAACTCGAGGACAACGAAGAAGAGCCTGAGGACAACGAAGAAGAACCCGATGATAACGAAGAACCTGAGGATAGCGAAGGACCCGAGAACGAAGAGCCCGAGGAACCTGAACCCGACGACAACGAGGAACCTGAGGACAACGAAGAGGAGCCTGAGGACAACGAAGAGGAGCCTGAGGACAACGAAAAGGAGCCTGAGGACAACGAAAAGGAGCCCGAGGACAGAAAAAGACCCGAGAACGAAGAGCCTGAGGAACCTGAAGAAACCGAGGATGACGGAGAGCCTGAGAAACATGAGGACAATGAAGAGCCCGAGGATAACGAAGAGGAACCTGAGGGAAACGAGGAACCCGGGGATGACGAAGAGCCCGAGGATAACGAAGAGCCCGAGGATGACGAAGAGCCTGAGGATAACGAAGAGCCCGAGGATGACGAAGAGCCTGAGGATAACGAAGAGGAAAACGAGGAACCCGGGGATGACGAAGAGCCCGAGGATAACGAAGAGCCTGAGGATAATGAAGAGGAAAACGAGGAACCCGAGGATGACGAAGAGCCTAAGGAAAGTGATGATAACGAAGAGCCCGAGGATAACGAAGAGCAACCTGAGGAAAACGAGGAAAACGAGGAACCCGACGATGACGAAGAGCCTGAGGATAACGAAGAGGAAAACGAGGAACCCGAGGACAACGAAGAGCCTGGGGACAACGACGAACCTGAAGACAACGACGGACCTGAAGACAAAGACGGACCTGAAGACAAAGACGAACCTACGGGCAATCAAGAAGGTGGAGGCAAACGCGGGGTGGAACAACAGCCAGATGGACAAGACGCCAAGGTAAAAGAAACAGACAGGGAAGATAACCAGGGCGAGAAAGATATGGAAAAGGAGGACGAGATGGACCTGTTCAATCTGAAGCCCGAATGGGTTGTTGAAGAATACCCAGCCAATAAGTGAGCGTGAGGCAGTTTTGATATGTTATTGTTAAACCAGATTGTTTGTCCACATATCCAGAACGCAGGACTTGACATAACCATTTGCGTGGATGGGCTCAACAGAAAATCTAGGCATGAGCAGATTTAGGACATCACGAAGGTGCGTTGCTAAGGCCATTGCCGTTATTAAAGAGCCAAAGAAAGAATACCAAATGAGTAATCAGATTACATGCTCCTAGCTTGTATAGTAGACATTCGCAGGCATGAGCTTGATAGAGTCGATATTTATAGAGTAACCATGTCAATGACACAACTGAGCACGAAGGCTTCTTTCCTCTAGCATACATCCGAGAACTCTCCTTCTGTTTCAAGTACTGGGTGCCACATTCAAAGTGACACTCCGTTTGGACAGTGAGATATTAATGAGAGTCTAGGAAAAGAGAGAGACTGGGAAAAGCCAGTGATCTGTGGATGACTCTCTGACATTGAGCCAGTATCATGAGTCAAAAGTGTGTATCATTGAAAGGCAGTCCATTGAAGATTGCGACATCTCTTATAGCGCTAACCGAATTTATAAGCGATACATGTTTCTATTTAGCCATTATAATGCTAATCAGAGTTAGTCCAAACAATCAAGAGTTGTTTATTCTATAATCCTGTGAGTTACTTGATATGCTTAGGACCGGAAGACCGCAGAGGCCTACTTCTTGTAAACCCAAAGCGCGGTACTTAGCTTTCGTCAAGTTCGATAAATTTAAGTCGCAAAAGTTATATAGCCCAACACGCCCTTCGAGACTGCAGAACTTATCACTCAGCTAGTAGCCGTAGCCACGCGAGAAATACCCGGTCCGCTTCTAGTGACCTAGCGGGGGACTGTACGGGCAATTTGTGGCGACATTTCGTGGCGCTACTCTCTTTAGGAACCGGCGGCCCGCGTACCGCTGCGAACACCTTTCTCATCTTACTGGTCACTATCAGATTCCCAAGGGAGCATTTCTAGTAGGTTATAATACTCAACTACGTTCGAGACCATATTACGGAGTACATGCTAGCAATAATAGACGAGCATTACAGTGGGGATAATACTTCCCATCTTAGTAGGTAATGATAGTATAATAACTTAGACTAGCACCTAAACCTAAGTCAAGTCAGCCAGCCATGGGAATTGTTCTCTGTATGCCAGTCTCTGTCGCTTGAATAAACCCTAGAACCATCGGCAATATATTCCAGTTTGTAGGCCATCCCGAACCAAACTCGCGGAGCGACATTGGATCAGCTGCCCCAGAAGAGGATTGTATAGACAATCGGCAAAAAGAGCCCGAGTCAGTTTTGGTCTGAGCGCTTTGGCACCATTATAATGGAATACACTCAAAACTTTGACTTTCAAGTTTCTAGCTATTTAATGCCTGTAGTAATCCGCTCAAGAACTGGAAAATTTCACTGCACATTACCACTTAAACTTTATATTCTCACATTATGGCTCAGGCACCGAATTTGATCTACAACCCAACATTTTTCACCGCGGAATGGCGTGTCAACGGCTTGTGGAACAGACTGCTCCACCAAGCAGCTGAAAATGCCCTTGGGATGAATGGAAATTGGCAGATCTCGCCGGAAGCAATGCCTAACTTCGGAGACACCAACGATTACAAGGCAGATCTCCTTGTGTCGAGAATCTCGCCGCTAAATTGGAATCCCAATCTCTACAACATCGGGACCCCATTCATCCACTTCGAAGGGAAGGGGGCAGCTGGACAGAGTTGGACCCAGATCCGGTACCAGATCGAAGTTTGGTGCAGTAGAAATGCCGAATTTGCACCCGGGAAGCCCTGCTGGGCAATTGGAGCGAAAGGCTCAGCCGTGAAAATGTGGCTGTATTCCACCTCAATTGACTGGGAAAATCAGAATAACAACACGATCAACAGCCGGATGATTCCCATCTATCTCAATGCCCAAGGTCAGATCGTACTGGACCTGGTCACGGGTCAAGGCGCTACCAGAGTCTACTACAACCCTTTGATAGCTGCCGACGGCGGCAATCCAATCCAATGTAATGGAAACATCGGCGTGGGTGGGGATATCTGGGAGATTCTTCGATTGATGTTCACTCATCCGACCGGGGATGGGGCAGGAATCATAAACCCGATACACGGTTTCGTGCCGTAAACAGGGAGGAACATGATTCATTGTGCTCGTTTTTGTGAGATAATTATTGGGCTGAGAATCTTTTTACCACTATTCACCTCATTTCTGAGTTATCTTCGGAGGCAACTGTTAAAGCGATTTTTCTTGACACAAGTTATCACTTGTGTATAACCGATGTAAAGTCTGTAAATGGTTGGATTAGGACTATCCTCACGACTAAGAGTCAATCAACCATAAAACATATTGTCTCTCTCTGTGATATTTTCTTTTTTACATAATTGGAAATAATATTCATGTTAAATTAAGGCAAATTTATAGCACGAAACTAGAATGACTGAAACTATATGTCAAAACAACGCGACGTCCTCCTTGAGCTCCACAGTTCCGTCCTCCAACTTGGGTGCTCCTTCGATATCCACTACTCCAATAAAAGTTCCTGCGAATTCTGTGGCAGTGCTTGAAGGATAATTCAAATCTGCTGGCGGACCGAAATTGTTCAGCACAACAAACCTCAACCGGTTCACCCTCTCCCACGGCATCATGTTAGGACCCTTCATGGGCAAATACTCGACTGGTACCAGGACTGACTTGGCGCCGAAGACTTTCTCCCATTCGCCGAATGGGACAGTCTTGAATCCAGGAGCAAAAACCCCATGTCCCATATTCCCCTCATACGTGTAAAACATGCATTTGGTCCACATTGGTTTACTCTCAGTGTAGGTTTGCAAATCAAAGATTCGGAATCCTGAAAGACCATGCAGGATCAGATATCGATGCTTGCGTGAATACTCCAGGATTGGCAAGGCAAACTGATTTGTTGGAACGCGAGGAGGCGCTGGTGCAGGATCACCCACGTATTTCGTTGGGGGCGGCCTGAAGCGCTGGGCCAGATGTGCGGACGAGAGAAAGTATTCGAGGGCGGTAAACACTGGCACCTTCTGTACTGCATCTTTGATCTCTACCAGGCTTGACCACACTGCTTTCATTGTGGCACTTGGCTGGCGGAGCTCCGTGGCGAAGAGCAGCATGCGCCACTGGTAGATTTTGAAGAGCTCCACAAGCATACCCTCGCGGTGAATGGGTAGCCTGTCATCAGCGGGTAAAGCTCTCGCCTCAATTTGGTATATTTCGATATCGACCTCCAGGGCACCAATGACGGTATTGACTTCTATGTCAGCCAGACGAGAGTGCTTGCCCCGTTCACGATTCCATCTCGCATTCAACAGCGACAACGGACTTTGGGCAGTGTAAAACACCAGACCAGTCTCTGCAAAGATAACACTGTCAGCTTCTACAGCCCTTGCAGGAGTTTTGGTATCAACTTACTAACGACGCGATCAAGCATTTGGCGCACATTGAAATTATTGGCCGGATCAAAACACCAAGGTTGAAAATACAGGGCCAATCGATCGACAGGCGCGGGAAAATTCTCGAAAGGATTCTCTTGGGGACTCTCAGCTTGCCGTCGGAGGAAAAGGACGATGGTGCTTGCGATTGAAGATGCCGCCAGGACTAAGTCAGCAAGGTCTCCTTCGCCCCGTATAGATGGCACGGGCAATGATCTGCCAATATAATCCCGAAAGACTGCATCGGGGGGATCCACGTGGCGATCGGGATGACTGAACAGTACGCCTTCTTGAAAGCACCAGAGGGATTGAAGCCACATCTCCGACTTATTTGCATCCTCCAACTTTGTCACCACATCCTCCACCTCTACCACTGTTTTGGTCAGACTGGGGGTCATAGGATAATTGCAACACGCCTTGATGGCTTGCTCCAACTCCGAACCTCTGCCCCAATGCACGGTGTGGGCCCATATGATGCCTCGCTTGGAATTCGGGTACACATAACGCATCTTGTTCATCTCCTGGTCCATAACGGGGAGCAGCTCTGGATGAATCCGATACTGCTCCTTGTCTGGCTCGGTGGGATTTATAAAGCCTTGAGGGATACATGCCCAATCCCACCAGACGAATCTCAACCCTATAGTTCCGAGAGCCCTCTGTGCATCGCCAGCGGTGAATTGCTCTACTGATTGTCCGGGTTCTTGTCTGGTAATAGGGAAGACCCACGATAATGGTACCTTATCATTATCTTCGCCAATATCGAATGCTGGGTACTGGTGATCATCCGGATTCAGGCTGTTTCTGGCAAACATTGTACGATCCTTCCATCCGCCCCATGCGTAAGAGATTGCGCCAAAGCCTTTGGTCTGCAATTCAGAGCGGAAGTCGTTCCAGCAGTCATCGAAGCGGCGAATCGTCCATCTATTCAGGTCCAGCAGGAACTCAGGACGATCTTCAGGGAGTTTGATCATAGCCATGTTGGGAAATATGAAGAATTAGTGAATGATCTCAAAATATGTGAGCGGAATGATCAATGAGACTATTTAAAGTAGTCGGAAGCCCGTAAAGCGCAGAATGCAACAAAGGTCAAGGAAGGACTGGGACCAGAACAACCGAATCTACTGGAATGCGCCTCATTCCGAGTCTTCGCTACAGCACTTCATGCCGACCAGCGCTAGTAAATTTGTACGGCCACGGTATCAATAGTCGAACATGGCTTCAACCATATGTGCAACCCCTCGCGACTCAGCCAGCCATGCATATATATCCAGTGGAGAATCGGAAGCGAGCAAGGTAGTGCTCACCCTGGGGTTGGTACTCGATAGCAGGCTCCTACAGAGGGATATTCAATACTTTTTTTTTTTGGAACGGACTGTGCACCAAATCGACGGGGCAAGGCAAGTGCACGCATAATCTAGGGCTCAATTTATCTGGGCTCAACTATGCTATCAGACTTGATAATTCAAAACTTGAAATTCGTGTGATTGAAGAATTGAAGAACACGTAAATACTAGTTTATATAATCTCGTGCCGTACGTCCACGGGTAATTCCTGGGATAGCTTCACAGTTTCAAATATGACCACAAACCAAATGTCTTCGGACAGGCCGCTTTGATATCCGCACTATAGTTGGCAAACGAGTCGTCGCCTCGCATCTGAGCCTGTTGGAGCAGAATTCGACTGTCCAGGTTGGGAGGTGCCAGTACGGGAGTTTGAGTCAACTGGCCTTTAATATTCTGGAAGGAGGCGTTGTCCAAACTGGTGCTGGAAAAGGACTGAGCAAAGGCATCGCTTGCAATTGCTTGACCAAGAGTGCGGACGCAAAGCTTGGCACCCTGAAGACCAGACATTCGAGCTATAGGGAGTGATTCACCAAAGAATTTTGGACTATTTTTGGCTTAGCTGAAATAACCTTTTTTTATGAGAATTAAAGGGATTCCCACGAGAGAAGAAAAAGAGGGAGGACCTCTGCCCGACGTCCATACGGCTTCCTTTCATCAAAAAAATACGACCTTTCAACAAACCTTATCTGATCATCATTACTTTCGTACTCATGATGAAGATGACAGCGCAAACTTTCAAGCTTCTGAATGATTTTCGGGAGCAGTAAGCCGGGTAGTGAAAGCGCCAAGGGGCCCAGAATCACTTTGGACTGTGGGCCGAGCGGCAGCTCCACGTTGTTGATTGGAGTAAAAACATGGGGTGTGATGTAGAATTGAACGAGCTTCTGGGCCTTTGTGATTAACTGGGTCGGATCAGTTACGGTCGTCAAAGAATCCACAAAGGCTAACAGCAACTCCATCAGCTGAGGACCTAATTTGGCATGTGCGATGAGGAGGTCGGGCTCGACCGTCACGCCCAATGGCTGTTTTGCGTCAGCCTTGACGAGAAGCGATAAGCCCAGGACGAATTCTCTCAGTCCAGTGTCATCCACTCCAGGAACCTCGGGCAAGATACCATCAAAAAGGGGGCTGAGAAATGGCGTTACAGTGGGATTAAACTTGTTTTTGCCAAGTATGTACTCGTTGAGGCGCCGAGCGGCAACGCGTCTTACGCTAGGTGTCAAATCCGGCACATGAGCAGTCGGATTCAGCCCTAAAGCCGGCTGAATAAGCTGACTCCATCTCCACAGATCCATCTGCGCCTCGTCATTCTCCTTCCCCGCTGCGGCATTGGCATCTGCAGGATCAGAGCCAGACCATGTCGCGCCAAGGAAAAAGATCGGCCGGGACGAGCCGAAGGAGCTGGGTAGGTACATCAGACATGCGTCGGCTGGAACATTGGTGATGACAGAGGTCGGCGACGAAGAAGGACGCACAAATGCGAGATACAAGAACCACGCATAAAAGACACCAAGGGGAAGATAATAGCTCTCGAATGTAGGATTCCCCATACTGGGTGGATTTGCTACACTGAAGATGTAGCCTAGTGCATTTGGCGCATCCGAGATTGGGACCAAAATGTTGCTTGGACCGAATCCGACCTTGGCAGGTACGATTTTCCGCAGAGAATCTGGGAAACCAGATTCCGACTTGATTCGTGTAGGTAAAATCCGGTCCCCTTTAGCCGGTACAGGGAAGAAAGCATCCAGAAGCCTATTCACGTCGTTTACCCTGTTCGGTGGAATGCCATAGTTGGCCGGCGAGAGTCTAAGGCCCTGGATCCACTCTGTGAAGAAGCAGGCACTGGCTTGACCATCGTCGGACAGTTGCCAATCGCGGGCCTGGAGAGCGGAAGGGTTCAGCTTGCCACCAAAAGCCGTGAAGGTGTCCCAGGAAGTCATTTTAGCGTAGGAGAAAAGAATAATGTTGATTCGGTGCTGTGATTAACCGTCCTTACACGAGGCACAAAGGAAACAGGCCACTATTTTATATTTGGTTTTAGTAGCCGAGCCTGGGCTCGGTTGCCTAGAACGGGGAGCTGAAGTTGCGCCCACTGGGGTATTTCGAAGCGAGTCATATCACAGCCCTGAATATGAGGAGTTCGTGAGTACAGCTCACGCCCAGTCGGTAGAATGCACCGGGCCGTGAAACAATAGACAAGCCTTCTGAAACGTGAGACACATACATGTAATATTGACCGTGCAGAAGTTTAGTGAATCTGCAGGAACCCCGCAGTCTTCACATCCATATCGCTATATATTTCTATCTGAACTTCAGAGGTCGGACTTGGCCGTTCAAAAATCAGCAGGTCCAATCTCACCTTCCCAGCAGAGAAAAGCATCTTTCACCAGTCACACCACTAAGAATGGAGAAGCTCCCGGCCGGGGCCACTCGAGAAGGAGGCCAGGAAACTCCCAAGATACCAATTCCAATCCCCGTGCCAGTCAAAGTGGATTTGCCTGCGAACTCGACCTGGACCAGCGAGGCCACACATCTTGAGTTGAGCACATACTTTGATCCCCAGAAGCCAAACATATCCCGAGATTTTGGACTCGATGGTTTGCAACCCATTATTCGCGACACGGAGAGTGACATTTTCCTCCTACAAGATGCATCGAGAAACTTTTATCAATGGAGTAGCTGGGATGGCGACATGTGGCATCTGGTAGACTTGAAAGACATCCAGGAGGCTGCCTACGCCATCATGCGCGACAGTGGAATCCTACGAAAGACTCAGGTCTGGAACTTGGATAGGTTGGAAGAGAGAATTTGATGTATCTACAGTCGAGACCCAGAAGACACTCCCTCGGATATTCGAATAATATTGTCATCGTCATGTACCAGCTGAACTCTGGGAGAGAGGAGCTCAAAATTCACTTTGCACTCCTGCGAAAAATCGAGATCCTCAGGTTTTTTCTCATTGGCCTCAAGCGCCCTCGGCACCACGTAGAAGACTTTGCTAGGCTCAATCTGATAGTCCGTACGGGGAGTGGGTGTGAAAGAGGCGTAGATGCCCACAAAAGCAGACCCAGAAGTGTAGAGGCCCAGACCCACAATCCATTGATCTAGCGGGATGATTAGCGGCAGAACTCAGATAGGATGAGGAAAACTTAAGAGGGGAAAAAAGGCATACTATTCTTGGCTTGTTCGTACGTGAAACCGCCTGGCGTGCGAAGGCAAAAGGCACCGAGCTCGCCCGTATCACTGGCTGGCCCACCCCAACGGACAAAGGAAGGCGCAGCTGAAAGCATGTCAACGACACAGGTAGTGCCAGGACGAAAATTGTAGGAAAGGCCCCTGCCGACGGTGACGGCACATCGATCCAGAACGCGCATCTGGACGGACTCATCCTCATGACTCAAGCCGCAGATGGCATAGTGTTCGTCGCATGGAATCGTCAGAAATGCATTACCCGACCCGGAAGCAACACCTCTGGTAACCAAGATGGCATGAGGGGTAAGTTTTTCCACGGTGGGCTTCACAATTGGGGGCTGGCTGAAGAGGGTGTAGCTCTGGCTCATTCCAGTTTTATTGAGGATGGTGAATGAATACAGCGCGGCTCGAGCAGGGACGCTCATCGCATTGGCTAAGGTCATTGCCGTAAGTTCACGAATGGTGTTTTCAGCAGAAGGTTCATCCACCATTATTAACAGGATTTATGGGGAAGTGGTAAGGTATTGCCGATGAGAAAAGGGGTGAAGTGTAAGCGAGACGTTGCGCTCGCCTGGTGACTGAGCTGCATTGGCCGAAGTCTATTCCCATTCGACGAGTGCGCTTTTGGGGACACGCCTCTAGCTGAGGCGATTCATGTATCACAGTGTATTTTGGGTCTTTGCTCTTATCGAGCATTCGATGCGATGGAGGCATTTCAGCCGAAGACGGCACTCTGGCCAGATATAAAGGAGGGACGGATTCCCACTCCAAATCAGACTTTCTCCAACAAGCTTCATTTCTTCAAAGCCTTTAGTCTTCACTTCAAATCCCGATCTATTCTTCACGTTTGAATATCTTCAAGATGCCCAACCAATACAGCCTTACCATTAAAAACCAGACCGGCGGTTTCCAGGACTATGCCTTCTTTTCGGCTCCCCCAGTCGTCTCGGGGGCCATGTCCGGCGAAATCTGGAGCAACGTCCTAAAGTCCTCCCCTAGCACGGCCAGTGGCGGTCGGGCAACACTTGATGTCTGGCCCAACTACTTCGCTATCTGCGGCAGATACGACGGAAAGCCTGAGCAGGGTGTTCGTGTTTCAGTCAGCAAGTCGGTGCCTATCAACCTTGGGTCCAAGGTGGGCGACAAGGTTGTGATGGGAAGCACCACTGCCCTTCACGTCATTAACCGCGAGGCTCCCGACTTGGGCCCACCCACAAACCCGGGCGCTGGCAAGCTTGGGGCTTTCCAGTTGACAACCAGTCAAGGGGAGTTCACGATCACCGAGGCAAAGAACAGTGAGTCACTGCGACAAGCTCCCCACCTCTTTTCTGAAGATTAATTGCTAACGAGTGGGACAGAACATATCATGATTGGAATTGCCAATTCGAAGAACGCGGACATCTTTTCCGCCATGGGGACCTTCACCCCGTACCCCAATTCATCCTACCAGATCCAGCCTCAGATGGTCTACCATGTTGCCACTGGCGCTAGATTCGAAGTTGGCGAATTGGTCAAGGTGGAGCAGATTGGAGCCACCATGGCCGTCGACTTCAACCTCCGTGGAAGCAACAATGTCGTGCTCATCCACAACGAGAATGGCGGTTTTGAGTTTGAGTGATGCTGGAAGGGGATAGCGAGGAATCATTGTCGCCACCTGTCTATGCTTGTGCAACGTATTTGGACTGAAGAGTTGGGTTTCTGGGCAATAGAACCAACATCAGGTTTCACCATAGCATTCCCGTCACTAGCACATATTTGATCTTAAGTCATCAAGTTATTTTTACCAATATTTTTGTGAATGTCCACGTTTTTGATCTCTAAGAGATGTCAGACAATAATAAGCCTGATTAAGCTGTCTATTTGGTGTCCTCCCTTGAGGATAATTCCAGCCCACCTTTTTACTAGATAGCATCGACCCAAATTTATGTCTATGTATTACACTTAGAGACTGTTAAATGACATTTCAAAGGAGGGGTTAGCCAAGTCCTGATCCCCCAAAGGTAATGAAGGGTGTGCCACTGGAGAGGTTTCAAAAGCTGGTTCTAACTAAATATCAAGTACTACACTATCGGCGTGATCGATGGCCCCTTAATCGAGCAGCATCTACACCACCCCTTCGTGACCTCCGTCTGTTGCAGCCTGGAGTATATTGACGTAACTTCCTTCGGCATCCATTGTATCCGATGAGTCCGCACCCATAGTGCCAGTTGGTAAGATACTTTTCAAGACAGATTCTGATCCCAACAATCCGGCCTAGTATAGAGCAAATGGGAACTCTGTGAGCTTTGCCTCATCTAGTATCCCCCCATAGAGAGCTGGCCCTAGGAGATAAACTAAGCACTCACCTGTGTGGACATAGAATTAATTATAGCTCACCCTTCCCTCGGTCGGTCCCGCAAGGAAAACATCAAAATATATATCAATAACCCTCGATATCATTGTATCGCTACGGTTTCTGCCAACAGCTCCCATATTACATGCCAAGATGAGAGTTTGGAAACCTGTTCATTCAAAGGTACCAAGACCGAGGAAGAAAGAAGTAAATATCTCTCTGGTGGGGGTAGTTGTTTATAAACCTCAGTCGTCCCGATCCGACCATGTTTGCTCCCATCACCAGTCTTGAGATCAAACATGCAAACTCATCAACCATCCAATCCTAACGTCCTCGATCGTTCCATTTGTAACAATGGGTTCGGGGATGGATCACTTTAGAATTTGCTATGGGGCACAAATTCTTGTTCCAACCCAGGCCAACGACATTCCAAAAGAGGAAAATCCATGTCCTGAGTGGAACGAAGAGAACTGGTTGATATCCAGCACGAGGATCAATCCAAGATGACTAACAGGGATTAGTGGGTGCAGAATAGTGGTCAAGAGTGATGGGTCAAGTGACGGCGAACCGCTAGAAGTTACGGGTGGAAAGGCGGGCTGTCATTTTCAGCGTCATTTCCCCAGGTCCTTATATTCTACTTGTAAATGACGCTAAGGCTGGTATATAAGTTTCTTTTATATTCAAGACTTTATGGTCGAGCTATCTCTAAAAAGCTAGAAAGAACCCTTTACCATAACATCATTAAAATAGATGAAGCCCTTCACTTTTTTCCGCGTCCTATAGTTATAACGTTCTTAATAAGATAGATTGGTTTAGAAAATAAGGGTAGATGCAATGCTATCGAACTAGATATTATAGTATAAACGGCCCTATAGGGCTATTCCACTTAAGGCATAGTCTGAGTGGTCAGAGTTACTCCCGAGGTCACTAATTAGACATAGACTAAGTTATTAGTATCTACGGAGTAATAAGCATCTATATAGAATCATACTTTATGTATGTGACTAGTCTGGGCTCATCACTCGACTCTGAGCTCATGCCGATATCTAAGAGCGGCTCAAATAGGAAAATCCCAGGAAAATCCCACCGTACACTTTGCTTTTATATCTCATCCCTGCAATAGAAACAGGACCACTCCCATTGGTTCATAATTTAGACTTGGTGATCATTTCAGCGCTATAATTCTTAGGGTTTGAGAGATAAATAATTGGCTAATATTGGCAATTTGCTTTTGCTCTGGTCTACTCCATATATTATTTAGTCTATACATTATTAATCCGGCATTCCCACAAAATTGATTACCGCTTCGAAGATCTCCGCGGGTTGATTTTCTCAGCATTGCGGAATGCCCAGGTGATATTGATCACCCTCACTATTTAGTCAGACTCTCAGTCAAAAATATATCCTCTTCAAGGCAATCTTTCTAGGATTGAAGACGAAATAGAAGTCCGTTAAAATATGACATTTCTTGGCGCATCCCTCATGGTCTTGGCGAAATCCAACAAAAAGGCAATTTCCGACATAGTAGCCTGGCGAGTACTAGATTGTTTCAAAAGTGAGACTCCAAGCTTAAATGGCTAGTCAAGGAGAGGATTTCCCTATTTGGGGGTACAACATGTGATGTTCTCAAAAAATATAAAAATTTATATAGCAGTGTGGGCTGATCCAGCGGGGAAAATAGGGATATTATTGAGGCTGAATTGCATGGTTTCTTTTTTCTATACATTTTCCTGCTTTTTTTTTTCTAAGATCTACCATATGTAAAGAAAAAAAACAGGGAATTTAAAGTAAGTATAAAATAGAGATCTAAAAAAAAAGAATTACAATAGTACAATCTAATATAATCTAATGGTTCGCATTCACATATCCAATAAGATGCAATAAAATATAGTTAAATGTAATCGATACAGTCTAATTCACAATAGTTCACAATAGTTCACAATTTATTCCAATTTTTGTATCACACATAAAAACATAAATCAAAATGGAGTCACGAAAGTCCGACGCCGTTGGGTACAAGTAGGCGGGAAGACCCCGCCTAAACCCGAACTCATTCTTCACCTAACATCAGACCACCTTATATTCAAAATGACGAGGGCATCAACCAAGGCGAAATATCCTTATAATCTTGGTTCATACGGAAAGGTCATTACAACCACTAGCCCTGAAGCTCAAATATGGTTTGACCGTGGTCTTGTGTGGGCATATTCCTTCAATCATAAAGAATCAGTCATCTGTTTCAAACAGTGTCTGGTCCATGATCCATTATGTGTGATGGCCTTTTGGGGCTTGGCCTATTCTCTCGGTCCCAACTACAACCAGCCCTGGGATTTCCTCGGCAGTGACTTGGCAGCTGTCGTGAAAAACACATATCAAGCCGCAATCAAGGCGCGATTTCTCGCTCCAAATGCATCTCCCGTGGAGCAAGCCCTCGCCAAGGCTATTTCCGCCCGCTATCAAAGTGATAAGCCTGCGAGCATGGATCAATATGCTATTCAAAATCTTGCATATGCCGATGCAATGAAAGAGGTATACGAAAATTTTACAGATGATTTGGATGTGGCCACTCTGTACGCTGATTCCTTGATCAGCCTCACACCCTGGAAATTGTGGGATATGGTGACCGGCACACCAAACCCAGGCTCTCGTACCATGGAAGCAAAGAGAGTGTTAGAGACAGCCCTTCAACAGAAAGATTCCCACAAACATCCCGGTCTCTTGCACATCTACATTCACCTTATTGAGATGTCGCCATTCCCAGAATTAGGCCTCCGACCGGCAGATCACCTCCGGGATCTCGTGCCAGACGCGGGTCATGTCAATCATATGCCGTCCCATTTGGACGTGCTGGTTGGAGACTATCGAAGTGCCGTGCGCGCCAACCAGCGTGCCGCTATTGCAGACGAAAAATATCTGGCGCGGGAAGGCCCATTTAATTTCTACTCAGTTTATCGCATGCACACCTACCACTCGCTCATCTACGCAGCCATGTTTGCGGGCCAGAAAAAGACCGCATTTGAAGCCGTGGACCGCATGGAGGCGACGTTGCCCAAAGAACTGCTCGCAGCCATGTCAGACTACATCGAATTCTTCTTGTCCGTGCGCGCACACGTCATGGTGCGATTCGGCATGTGGGATGAACTTATCGAGATTGCGCTCCCCTCAGATCCAGAGCTGTACTGCATGACGATAGCGACGCTGCACTACGCCAAGGGGGTGGCATATGCAGCCACGGGGAACGTGCCGGATGCAGAGCGCCAGCGAGAGCTCTACCGAGCAGCGCGGAAGCGAGTGCCCGATACGCGCGTGGACTGGCCCAACAAGTGCGTCGAGATTCTGGGGGTGGCGTCGGAAATGCTAGATGGCGAGATCGAGTATCGCCGGGGGAACTACACGGAGGCTTTCGAGCATCTACGGCGCTCGATTGAATTGGATGATGGGTTGGGTTATAGTGAGCCCTGGAGTTGGATGCAGCCCACTCGCCACGCATATGCTGCTCTTTTGCTAGAGCAGGGTCATGTTGAGGATGCAGCGGCTGTCTACCAGGCGGATTTGGGTCTTGATAGCACTCTTATCCGTGCTCGGCAGCATCCGAATAATGTATGGGCTTTGCAGGGCTACCATGAATGTTTGACACGTCTTGGTCGGCATGATGAGGCGCGGATTATTGCGCCGCAGTTGGCGATAGCGGTTGCTGTGGCTGATGTGCCAGTAACGTCTTCATGTTTCTGTCGTAGGGATACTTCAGAAGCGCCCAATGTTGCCAAGAGTTGTTGCAAATAAATTGATAATGTATGTAAATTGATTTTAGAACTTATATCCCCAACTCACTGAAGCAGAACAGCCTGTACAAATAAGATTGATTAATCGCCGATAGCGGTCAATGACGAGTGGACTCGGTGTTTGGTCCGAAAATCAAACGCCGAACCAGAGATAAACTCTTGTCCTTGGACAAAGTATACAACAGAAGCAACAGAAGCAAGTGGATAAAGGCCCTTATCACGTCAAAACCGTCCTCATCGATCAGGGTATAGATATCACGTGCCTTGGTGACGTCCCTAGACTCCCTACAAGAGATAATCATTCGTTTAACTGCATTTCTCAAATTAGACAACATGCCTCGCGTTACAAAACCACCAGTGAAAGCTGCGTGTCTAGCATGGTGCGCCACATATCTTGTCGACCGCTCATTCTTGCCTTGAGCTCATATTTTGTAGTCGAACATCGAAAACACGCTGTGACGGCCAACATCCCTGTGGCAGTGTATGTCCAACCCCTCATCCTAGCATTCATTGGCTAAACCATTGATTAGTGCTCTAGCAGAAAAAGAGAGTGCAGTTATCAACCCAGTCGCCGGGGTGGTCCTCGCAGAGGAGCCCGATATGAAGAGGCGCAACGAAAACCAACTGCAGGCAACTCACTGCGATCTTCAATATCAGATGTCACCAATGAAATCGGTAGTTCAACGCTTCCTAAATAAGAAGTCATCATAGTATCTAACTATTGGTCAGAACCATTCCTTGACAACATGATCGGTTTGGTCTCCCCATTCGCTGGGATCCACAATCTCGATCTCTCCCCGGATTCTCTCTCAATTGCCGATGGAGCCCACCAGATATGGGGTCAACTCACCCCACATGATGATGGCTCCTTTGACTCGGCCGCTGTGCATGATGTGGGGTCATCGGTAATACGCGCCTATCAATACGAAACGGAAATGTTGGTGCAAAAGGGACATGATCCAAAGCATGGAAGACTGCTAATCGGACATGCAGCGCCAATGCCTACTATATCTACATCCATCCATATTTACCTTTATTGCCACCTGCTGTGGCACCGCTGCATGAAGATCACCCTACTGTGATCAGACCATTTGGAGAAAGTCCACAAGCAGAAAAGTCACAGATGCCTTATTGGCCGACATCGTCTTTGAGTCTTGCTTTGTCCGCAATGCTAGTTCTCATACCTACCGCCGAAGAAACTTTTCCGATGGCTGAAACGAACCTTGGCCTTAGGCGCTCCTACGCGCAGCTATTTGCCCAGGCGGCGCTGGCTGCTGTGGAAACTGAGACTGATGATTTGGCGCCTGCTTTGAGCACTAATGTACCTGAGACAGATCTCTCCCGTCGTGAGGAACAAGATGGTTTGCATCCGCAGATTCCAACTGAGCTTCATCCGGTTCTGGCTCTCGTGGTCCTTGCCATTTATGAGTATTGCCAGCGTGGTAATATATCTAGAATGCGGGCTCGAGGTAACCAGGCTATTACAACTGCTATGGATATCTCCATTCATAGTCTTGATTCGACGACGACAGATTATTCTGAGGCACAGAGACGAGCTTGGTGGATGACGGTTAGTGTGAGAGATATCTTATTGTCGGAGCTATTGCTCACTTGTCCTATAGATTTGGGTCACATATCTATCATCAAGCCTCCATCTTTCTGTAAGAGACCATATAAACGCACTCACTGAATGATTTTGACTGATTCATATCCAGCCGCCGATTGTTTCTATGAATGATCCACGAATAACTACTCCTTATCCCAAGTTCGATGTTTATCTGGAGGTATTCGTTCACTCCTTTCAAACTCATCAATACTCTACTGACTGTTAAAAGCCGTGGCCCATAATGATGAAAGCACAAGAGGCTCTCTTTGAATCCAACAAAATGGTCCAGAACATCGAACGTTTGGATGAAACAGCCGTTCTCTCCGATTTCGGCACCCGAATACGCACGCTGGACTCAAATCTTGTATCATTAATAGGCGAAGCAGACCGCCATCTTTTGACAACTTTCGATGAAGAGCCAGAGGCATCCATAGCTCAAACCATGTGGATGATCAGCCGGATGTTCATCCATGCGTGAGTGAAACATCTTCAACCCGAACACGTATTTTACTGACACTTCTAGTGCTCGCACTCGACTGCACCGCTTCCGAGCATTTATGGACATCCCCCTCTTCCTCGACAAATACTGCGATCTTGCAGCAATCAACAGCGCGGATTTTCCGCACGAAACGTCCGCTCCCAAATGGGTCACAGACTGCGAGACCTCGTTCCCGTTCACCGAGCAAGAATCCTCGATGATATGCCTCAAGTCTTCGCTCGTTGTAACGGCAATATATCGCAATTTACCGCACCCGAATCCACTTGCGTTGGCTCCTTCTAGATCCACGACATATCCGAAAACCATCCCTTACTTTGCTTGTTCGGCTATGCAAAGCTGCTACGCTCTTCTTATGCTATTGCATCGACTGCGTGCTTCTCTGGCGACGGATCGGCTTGCGGATTGTTATCACCTGCTTAATAATCCTACTCCTTTGTCGGAGATTGCTGATGCGGAGAGATTGAGGGAGGAGTTGCGACATGGGGTGGAAATTCTTGGCAGATCTCTGAAGTCGGATGTGATTTTTGAGGGTGTTGGGGGGATGGGGCGGGAAATTGAGGGCGCTTATCTAGCTGCTTTTCCTAGTTGCTTTGAGATCTAGGGATATAATTAGCTTGCTGCAATGTATAGAATCCAAAATGCAAGCAACATATATAACTCAGCAACCACCACTTACGCTACTGTCAGTATCAGTACACTCACATATTATCCCCGAATATCTCAAAAATATCTCGAATAATAAAAAATAATAATCAATAGAATCTCGGGGACGTATTCGCGTGAAGGCCATCTGGTCACGTTCTCGGGAAATTGATTAGCCGAGCCGACAATATCACCCTTAGGTTCGTTCTCCTGCGCGTGAAGTAATCTATAGGTCGATGATGATGTTGAATTGTCGAGCCTATGTTTGATTCTAGGGAGAGTAGACATGGCCGGCAATATATCCATCTCGCCATTTCTGTTCCAGCGTTGCTTCCAGCAAGCATGGTCCGGATCGCGACGGGCTCGCGTCAATTATGGCAGCACTAAATATGGAAAGAAACCCGGCGAAAATGACATTCTGCAGCTTCCACGAAGGTTTGGTAAGTTTAAAAGATTGAAAAATTATGCATTCGGTGTTTGTATCTCAGGAGCTTATAGCTGACGCGTGAGATGGTAGGAATTGCCGTCAGTGGCGGTGCTGACTCTATGGCTTTGGCATACCTATGCCAGCAATTGGAACGATCTTCTGATGTTGCTGGGGCCATTTCTGTCACTGCTTTTGTGGTAGATCATCGTGCCCGTCCAGAAAGCACTATTGAGGCACAAAAGGTTGCTGGTTGGCTTCGTGATATGGGTACGTTCCAAGCCGGATTACTTACATTCTCGGGATATTATCTGAGCATTCTTAAACAGATATCAGAACCCATATCCTCAGTTTGGACTGGTCTGAAATTACTTCAAGTCAGAATCATTTATCTTCGCCAAAGTCCGGGGCATCAAGTCCCCTGCCATCCGCCTTTGAGACACATGCTCGACGACTCCGCTTCCAAGCCCTCGGCATAGCTTGTCATGAGTTCAAACTTGAAACATTGCTTCTAGGCCATCACCAAGACGATAATGTCGAAACCACCATTTTGCGCCTCTCCGCCGGGGCAACTGGTTTAGGTCTTGGCGGCATCCCCGAAGTTGCTCGAATCCCCGAATGCCATGGTCTTTTTGGGGCTTCTGAGAGCTGGTCAACTACATCAATCCCGACAAAACCTCCGACAAAACCCCAACCCAGAGTTCGGTTCGATAACCAGAAGAACGGGTTCATCACCTTTCCCGACCCAAACACTAGGACAGATAAAATCTACTCCAATCTCACATCCAATGTAAATATGGCAAGTCCCGGCATATTCATCTGTCGACCTCTACTCTCTTTCACCAAAACAAGTCTTCTGGAGACCTGTCACAAAAACCAAGTTCCCTACGTCTCCGACCCAACAAATTTCGACCCAACCCTCACACCCCGGAACGCCATCCGCAGCCTTCGCACCTCAAACTCCCTACCCCGTGCTCTGGAATCAGCATCCATCCTCTCCCTAATCCGCTCAAGTCAAGACCTCCTCCAGAGATCAAACGAGCTTTCAAACTACCTGATCTCATCCCAATGCCGGATTCTAGATTTCAACCCCAAGACAGGGTCAGCAGTCATTCAATTCTTAGAGACAAGCCCAGCATCCATGGACCCGCAGCTGGCAACATTATCAGCCTCTCGAATGCGACAGATCCAAACCATTGCTCTCCGCCGCATCACAGAACTACTCTCTCCATTCGCCGATAGCCATTTCTCGCTACGCAGCTATGAACCACTAGTTTCCAATGTGTTCCCGGATCCAGAGGGCTCTGGTTCCCATGGCGCAGACGCCACATCTAATGACCAGAAAAGAAACAAAGCCTTCACGGTAGCGGGTGTTCTATTCCAGCGTCTTGCGAACGAAGACTCCACGCTTGAAAAGTCCCAAGACACACATCTCGGTGATAGTATCTGGTTGTTATCCCGACAACCATTCATGAAAAACCGTGACCCCGTGACGCAAATCAATGTTTCGCCTAGTGGTAGTTTTACTCCGTGGGTTTTGTGGGATAACCGGTACTGGATGCGACTTCGTCTCGTTCCGATAGACCGTGATCCCAATGAACTGGAGGATCATTTGATAAGTGTTCCTCTTACGATACGACCGTTCCATAAATTTGATATGGAACGGATACGCAAAGATGCGGTTATTTCGAGGCAGGGGCAAACGAAGGATTCTGCTACTGGACAGAAAATACCCGGGACTTTTGAGCATCTTAAAGCCGTCTTGGCTGCTGAAGCGCCTGCTCAGCTGCGCTTCACTTTACCTGTGATATCAAGGGAAGGTATCGTGTCCAAGCCAGGAAAGCCTCTTGGCCAGAAGGTTTGGCAACAGCTGGCATTACCGACTTTGGACTATCGGCTATCCGGTCATTCAACTAAGTATTCCTCTCCCAATGAGGTGGAATTGATACACCTACGCTATCGCTGGAAACTGAGATGGCAGTGGATGTACAAAATGATTGACACTGAGGCACTACGCCTGATGGGCTGGCCGGTGGGTAAAGATACCGGAGACTCTTAGTGTACATGAAAATAACACCTAGACAAACAAAAAAAGCAAGCCCTGTAAAAACTTGATCTCCTGAGCTATGCATGCATGGTCAATGGCTACCTGTGCGGATAGGCCAATATGAAGGGTAACAAGAAATAGGAATGAATACAAATAAGATAGGCTCATGGATATGTATGCAAATGAATGGGTGTCCAAATGAAAGTAGAAAAGGCTTGTGCGGTATCAAAATACAAGGTGAAAGGAAAAGATAAAGGTGACAGGTGTCAGGTTGTCGAGCAAGATGCTCAGGTGGGTGAAAGGAATGAGTAATGGGACAAGCCCTGGATGATGTGATGCTGTATAATGGGTTATTGCTCGCTCGCCTTGACCAGTGCAACGGCAGCTGACTGAGCTCGAAGACCTCCGACTTCTCGTTTCAAGCGGAAGTTTTCTTTCTTCACTCGGCCGATCTCGTCTAGAGCACTCGCCAGCTGAGACTTCAAGGCGTCTTCTGCGTGGCCCATTCGGACGTCCTTTGCAATCTTGCTGAGCTCGGTATTAAACCGATCATAGAGAGCCTCGTTCTCGGCGCTTGCCTCGCGATAAAGCTCGTCCAATTTCTTCACGCGCTTCTCGCTAAGGACCAAGGACGACTCCAGGTCTCGTTCGAGAGCGGTTGTGCGGCCATTATACTCCCCGGCAAGCATCTCAACTCGGGCTTCAAGCTTGCGCATGCGAGCTTCAAGGGATGCGGCGGTAGCAGAAGGTGGATTGGCGTCTGTACGGTCAAAATCAAACTCAAGGTTCAGTGCATTGGATTGCCTTGGTGGTGTGAACTTCAGCGAACGTAATTCGTTACCAAGCTCTGAGAGCTCGTCTTTCAGGCCCAATTGAGTGGAGGCTTGGGTCTTCTTTTCTACTTGAACACGATCACGTAACTAAGAAAATATTAGAAAAGTCATTATCAAGACAAATACAATGGGACAAACCTTTTGTGGGCTTTGCATCCGCGGTTTCTGTGGTTTTTGCAAGGAAGACGAAGATTGGGGCCGCTTATTATCGGGAGCGTTGGTGGTTGGCCGCTCTCGAAGGCCCGGAGTCCGCTGAGGGATGCTTGACACGTGGGATCGCCTCCTTGACTCTTCTACTGGCGATTCTGATACACTGCCCCTGGCCTTGGACGTACGCTCCGTCTGTGGAGTTCTGGGATCAATGTTCTCCTTCCTGCTCGGCGTGGAAGGACGGGGCGGAGACAGACGGCGAATGGGTGATCCTAGTCGCGTCGGTGAACTGGATTTTGCCGCTGGCTTAGAACGCATTGGTGATTGACCACGCATTGGCGATTGACCGCGCATAGGTGATTGTGATGTTGGTATGTAACTACTCTGAGGCCTGGATTGTTTGGTGGGCGTTACCACTTCTCCTCGCGGAGTCGTTGGGCGGAGCTGTTGAGTCGGAGAGATACTGGATGCATCCGAGGATGATGTGGGTGGTCGTAGATCCGAAAGAGAGCTCCTTCGTTTTCTGCGAGTCCTTGGCACGGCATCTTCAGAGAACCCTCGGAAGGAAGATAGAGAAGGCGGATTTTCGTAACCGGTCCCTGGCCTCGAAAGTTGCTCCTCGGATGCGAACCCGTACGGACGATCGCGAGTCGAAGGGCGATCACGAGATGTAGGCCGATCACGAGATGTAGGACGATCGCGAGATGTAGGGCGAAGGAACCCGAGACGAGCGTCCACGTCAGTCGACTTCGAACGTAGTAGACTGCCCTTGGGTGTATTGGGCTCTGAGCCGGCCGGGCTTTGCTTTTTGCTCAATGTCCGTAGAATTGATGCGACTTTGCTTTCGCCTTCATTTTTCGAGGTATCCCTGTGCATACCAAAGCCAAAGCGTTTCCGGAAAGAAGAAGAATTGGAACCGACTGACCCGGCATTAGTATGAGATTTCGATTGCCCATAGGTGAGTGTTCCTTCCACCGAGGTACCCCCAGGAAGGAATTCCTCAAAGAGGTTGTCAAAGTCTTCAACCAGTCGATCCAAAAGAGAGACATGGTGGCTTGGATCTCCGTCTTCGGTGAGTACCTCTGCAAATGCCATCGTCAAAGCACCGCGATCTCCATCATTACCAGATGCATCGAGTAGCTCGGCAAGTAGTCGAATAATCGCAGCTAGAGCTCGTCTGTTCTGCGGGCTCATGTCTGTCACGAATTTCCGGAACTGCTCATCAAAATCTCGTGGTATCATGGTGTCAAACTGGCTTTGGACCCATTTTAGAGAAGAGGAGCTCAAGATAGGGCCCATACTTCTTCTCCAAGCGTTCGCCAGAAAGGTTTCAAATGCGACGAAAAGTGTATCAACTGGCACCTCAGCAGCAGCCTGGATTCTGCTTGGGTCTTCCAACAAAATGTTGTAAAGCTCATTCACCGGCGCCCGGTCAACCTGATCTCTGACCCGAAGCATTCTGCCCAGGATGTTTCCACTCCGAGACTGCAGAGAAAGTACATAAGCTGCGAATGTCTGTTCCAGCAACCCGAACTGGGTATCCAATCCATTGGAGGCGGTTGTCCCAACAACAGATATTTTACTCCCGTTTTCTTCCTTCTCTTTGTCCTTGTCCTTCTCTTTATCTTTTCCGGGGAATGTTGAAGGTAAAGTGTTTGATCTCGACAAAGTGCCTCTTGGCGGCGGCATCTTTGGGAATTCGCCGGTAAGAGTGGCCGATCCTGGCCCTTTGAGCGTGGGAACATTATCACGGCTACCTCCCAACAGATTTGAGATCAGTTTGGTTGGCGAAGGTGGCCGGAAGCCCCGCGATGACTTGACTTGCGTGATTAAGCTGCTGGCGATATACCGAAGGATTTCAAAATTGGAATGAACCAGTGGTTCCGTCAATGCTGAGTTTCGGGGACTATGCAGAGGCGAGAGCAAATATTGGACTTTGTTTCTACATGTCAGAGTCAAGAAAACAGAACTGCCAAGGGAGAGTCACTTACGACGTCGTGAAAGAGTGGGAATGAACTTGTCCACTGTGATCAAATCCGTAGACCCAGATCCAACTACAGAATCGATATCTAGTCTGTATTGATCTCCATTTGGGGGAGATATCGATATGATGACCTCGAGATTAGAATCTCTCAACATTTGACCACAGGTCGCCTTGGATGCATCAAACACAACTCGTATGGGAGATGACTGAATACGGCTGAGCGCGGCGCTTTCGCCGTCCTCGCAGACACAGGCCAGCATTCCCACGTTACTCGCAGCTCCGGTGGGAGGGCTTCGTAGTGTCCACTTGCCCCCTTCTCTTTCGCTCTCGGGGAATCGACCCTCAATCTTCGCCTTAGATATTTCTTCGATCAGTCGGTTGGCTCTTCCTTCATATGTTCCAGCCAATTCCAATGCAAGCAGTTCAGCTCCGGCGCTTGTCTCATCTGGCATGGACTTGGCTGAAATTGGCACAACAAACAAAATCCGGCCACATGTGGATTGCATACAACGCACATTATGGAAGTCTAGTACCTGCACAACCTGGAGTTCTGATCGCGGTAAAGATGTGGACATATCGGTGGTTGAAGCGGCCGCGTTGTCGATATCAGCCAGCACACCACGGGCCGTGGCCCGGCTTTCGGCGGGTTTTGCCAGAAGGACCAGACAGTTCTTATAAAGAAGCATGATACCTGTGCTGTTACCAGATGACTGTGTTTCCAGATGGTAGGGAGGGGTAATTTCGCTGAAGTCGACTGCGGTAATCAGCCGACCTTCAGGGAACGTCTTCGCTGGCCATCCGTTGACCAGCTCTTTCAGGCGTTGAAGGCTTTGGGCGTGGCTTGATGGAGAATTATTATCTAGTGCACAGATATCCTTCACAATGTCGCGTGCTTTCAGCAGAGTTCGCACGGCAGGATGGACCAAGGGGAGATTGCTAGTCATGGTGTCAATCAGCAGACTGTATCGAGGTAGCCGCTGAACGGGTTCCATCAACAAAGAGCGCAGTCTCTGCTCTCCCGTCTCGTATACTCTCTTCGAAAAGCTAGAATTCTTGTCTTTCATGAAGAGATTCAGAGTTTGCGTAAAACCTGTATGTGCTCGCATATAGTCTCCGTATGGCTGTGAAAATTGTGGCAGCCATTCAAAGAGCGCCTTTGCGAATGCTAGAGCTCCAAGCGGATCTGCTCTATCTCTGGGCAAACCCCGATGATTGGAAGGAAGCTCTGTGTCCTGACCAATATCTGTGATGGCATCTTTCTCTGTTTCATCCAGCACTTGTCGAATCACATCGAGAAAGCCCAGGTTGACTTCCAGGATTTCATTCAAACATGGTGGGAACAATGCCGCCAAGGCTGCCTCGTCGGGGCTGTTGCTTGATGGACCTCTGCTCACAGCCTTTTGTCGAAACTCATCGGCCACTTCATGGACAAGAGAATACAGTTTGGCAACATATCTCTCTTCGGTGTCCACAAGCTCACACATGGTGAGACGAAGGGCTTCTTTCTGGCTTCTTGCGAACAGGCGCGATTTGCTGACATTGGTCGGCTGAGACGGCGCACGCTTCAGTCGAGATGTTGGCAAAAACATAGGATCTCCCAATGCCTCTATCAGGGGTGTGTATGGACCGTACTGGGGATTCTGACTCCCCTCAAGGTCTGATCCCACACTCTCTCGCCGGTGAAATGGCTGTATAGTACCCGTAGGAAGCACCACATCGATGTCAATCCATGGAACCTTACGTTCTTGATATGCGCTCCGGATATCCTGAATAATCTCCAGCGAATCATCCACCTTTGTCATCCGATTGGCGAGATCCGCCGCATGCATCTCATCGAACATCTTAGGAACCTTTCCTCCCGGTCTTCCAGCCCGAGCCACCCCAGTCAGACGGTGTTTAACCGGTTCAGACAGCTCGGCAAAGTACCTCAGCATACTGACTGCCAGTCCGCGACACACCTCATCACCTTGTTTTTCGCGGGGGAGGTGGTTGACCGCAGCATACACGGGGGCAGCTGGGGACACCGTAATTCGAGGATAACTTTGAAACCCGGCGGGTGTGAATATATGGGCCTGGATGCGAGAACTGCTCACAGTGGCATTGGCGGTGGAGACGGCACCATAGAAGACGAGAATGGATGATAGACAGGAGTCGACGACATGATAGAGGCTGAGTTGTTCGAGGGGTAGGTCTGCCAGTGTAGGGACTGCGGGGGAGGAGCGATGGTCGCCATAATGAATGGTTGCACTTGCAGGTGCGGAATGCGAGACCTCGGGAAGCTGTTGAGCAAGCGCTATCGCGATAAACAAATGAAATGCGCCGGGGTTTGGCGTAGAAGGAGCGGAGGAGCGGTGCAGTAGCAAGGTAGCGAGTGACAGGAAATAGAAGGGCGCAATGTTTGGAATTAAATGAGAGGAATTTTCCTAGAGTGAAAGACAGTTTTGAAGATTGCATATAGGATGTGTTATCGTAAAGCAATCGCGACATTCGCGCTCCCCTCCATAGAAAGAAGATATCCACTCAATTCATAGATTCAAAGAGTACACGTGGTGAAAAAGAAAAAAAGGAAAAAGCTCAAAAGATAAATAGAAAGGGAAGTGTAAGATCGAGGGGAGGCGTTTGTTTTGAGGCGGGGACAGAGAAGCGGTGGGTTGATATCGCGATAGCCCGATAGAGCGGGTATTAGCGCCTACTAAGAATAGTAAAAAAAGGAATGACTTGAAGTTACACTTGAATTACTCTCTCTTCATGTCCTACTCTCTTGTTTTTAATGTTTACTCTACTATGTTTTGTCCGGCCAACGCTATCAACACCGTTGCTATCGTTGCGATCCCCAACTGCTGCAAGGACTAGTGTGACAGGTCACATCTGCATGATTCGCTGAATATATGGGGTTGCACCTTGTTTGCTTTCTATAGTTTCAATTGTGTGTATCTGGAGCTTAATCCTATACCTATATGAAACTGTTTTACAATAAGAATCGACAGAAATACTAGATCTGTCTAAGGCACAATGCCATTAGGTGTACAATTCGTTAAAAAACGGTGGTTTCATAGTGTGGTCAATTCTGAAATTCTATCTTTGTTTAGTCGGAAAATATATCAGCCACTATATCGATGATCGCCGGGTTAATATGTTTATGAATTCATGCATGTATTTAGTTTATTGCATATTCTCCCCCCATTTAAACTTCTTATAGTGTGCATTCTATAATGTATATGTACATATGTAGCCCTGGAGGTTGTAGATATTGACATGTGATCTCGAAGGATGTCAACAAAGGGTGAAATCAAACATTTTTGAATCCATGGCAGCCCAATACCAGATCGTACAATAATACCCCCATCGGTACAGATCTTGATCCAATCTAATCGATTTAATACAGTCCTGCTGGTAATGGGTAGTACAGCCCCTGGCGTAGGCGGTGAAGGGGCGGGGAAGACGCTAAGCTCGATAAGGCAAGCAGCAGTATGATGAACAAGAGACCAGCTGTTTGGTTCCGACCTCCAAAATGGTGTCACAACAGCGAGCATCTTTTGTGATGCTCGATCCCACCATGGACTCATCCACACTTTCAATCGCCATCGACCCGGTGGCTTTGGTGACCACTGAATGTATCACCGTCACCTCGTCTATGCGCAAGCATGCCCGCTGGGCTCATTCCTCGGTCTCCGCCATCTTGGGCGGCAATGGGGCCTCTCGTGTTTATGAGCGGGATAACTCTGTTCCATCAAGCCCAAATCCACGAAGGACAGGTCAATCAACACCTCGCCCTGATGAAGATCATGTCCTGGCCAATCGGTGGGGTCTACGAGGGAAGAAGGGGAAGAGCATGCAGGATAACCCATTGATATCGGCCTTTACACGACTGCGGAGTGATCTGAAAGATTGCAAAGACATCCGAACTTTTGATACCCCAGCTTTACTTCATCCTTTTCTACAGGTCGTTCGCTCCTCTTCGACCTCCGCCGCAATTACCTCCATCGCCTTGGTCTCCATTACCAAGTTCCTCTCGTACAATATCATCAACCCGAATTCTCCGCGGCTCCCCATAGCGATGCAGCTACTTTCTGCTGCCATTACACACTGCCGATTCGAAGCTAGCGACTCGTCCGCGGACGAGATAGTCCTGTTGAGGATTCTGAAGTTGATGGAGGGTATACTTTCACGACCTGAAGGCGAACTTTTGGGCGACGAGAGCGTTTGCGAGATGATGGAAACCGGGTTGAGCATGTGCTGCCAGGGTCGTCTGTCAGAGGTATTGCGGAGATCCGCCGAAATGGCAATGGTCAAAATGTGCCAGGTGATCTTCATGCGTCTGTCGCATCTTGATCAAGAAATGCCCGCAGGATCGGATCCATTTGCGGGAGAAGATACAAAAAAGGACCCACCATCTCATCTGAAGATGGACCCGTCGGTCAATGGAGACACCGTCACATCGCAGCACCTGTCAGCAATCAGCGCAGATACAGCCGCCGCAGAACGGAACAGTACCAGCCGAGAGGGATCACCCGAGCAGGCAGGAAATGGCAGCGCAGCAGCTGCACCACCGAGCCCGCAGGATGACCCCGAAACCGAGCTTCAGCCCTACTCTTTACCATCCATCAAGGAATTATTCCGTGTCTTGATCGACCTGTTGGACCCTCATAACCGGCAACATACTGACGCCATGCGCGTGATGGCACTTCGCATTATCGATGTTGCCTTGGAGGTAGCGGGTCCTTCCATTGCTCGGCATCCCAGTCTGGCTGCTCTGGCCAAGGACGATCTTTGTCGATACCTCTTCCAGCTAGTCAGATCAGAACACATAGCTATTCTCACTGGCTCGTTGAGAGTGGCTGGCACCTTGTTATCGACTTGTAGGCCGGTTTTGAAATTACAACAGGAACTCTATCTTTCATATTTAGTGGCCTGCTTGCACCCTCGCGTGGAAATACCGCGAGAACCAGGCATCGACCCATCGCTCTACGAAGGCATTCCCCAATCACCGAAGTTGGTGAAGCAGCCTGCTACGCAAGCCAATGGCGGCAGACAGACACCTGTTCCTGTCCAAGATCGACAGAAATTGGGACTCGAAGGTGGAGCGAGAAGGCCCGAAGCCCGAGAGGCAATGGTAGAAAGCATTGGCATGTTGACACGCATACCTAGCTTTATGGTTGAACTTTTTGTCAACTATGACTGTGAAGCGGACCGAGCAGATCTGTGCGAGGATATGATTGGATTGCTCTCTCGCAATGCTTTCCCAGACTCTGCAACTTGGAGCACTACAAATGTACCCCCATTATGTCTCGATGCTCTTTTGGGCTATGTCCAATTCATTCATGACCGGCTGGATGATGAACAGATCCAAGGAGACTATCCACCTCGGGAGCAATTGAAAGAACAACGCCACACGAAGAAACTGATTATCAAGGGAGCACAGATCTTCAATGAGGACCCCAAGAAGGGCATTGCATTCCTCGTAGGGCATGGCGTTATTCAGGATGCGAATAACCCTGTTCTGGTTGCTCGCTTCTTGAAGGGAACTACACGTCTGTCGAAGAAAGTCCTCGGGGAGTATATCTCCAAACGTGGCAATGAGGAGTTGTTGGGCGCATTTGTCGATCTCCTCGACTTCTCAGGGCGCAGTGCGATTGAAGCCCTTCGGGAATTACTCAGTTCGTTCCGTTTGCCGGGCGAATCGCCGCTTATTGAGCGAATTATAACGACTTTTGCGGAACATTACATGGAAAAGGTGAACCCGGATGCTATCGCCGACAAAGACGCACTGTACGTCTTGACCTACGCCATAATCATGCTGAACACCGACCTCTACAACCGCAACGTGAAGCCACAAAACCGCATGACCTGCGCTGGGTTCGCAAGGAACTTGCGAGGTGTTAACGGAGGTGGAGACTTCACGGAGGAATTCCTGCAGGATATCTACGATTCTATCAAGAATAACGAAATCATCCTGCCCGATGAACACGAAAACAAGCATGCGTTTGACTATGCTTGGAAGGAACTATTGCTGAAGTCCTCATCTGCCGGCGACGTCATAGTTGGAGAGACCAACATGTATGATGCCGAGATGTTCGCGGCTACATGGAAACCAGTGATTGCGACCCTTTCATATGTCTTTATGTCTGCATCGGACGATGCAGTGTATTCTCGCGTTGTCAATGGTTTCGACCAGTGTGCACAGATCGCTGCCCGCTATGGCTTGACCGAGGCGTTCGACCGTATCGTCTTCTCCCTTGCATCGATTAGCACTTTGGCTACTAGCAAACCTCCAAGCACAGCGCTCAACACAGAGGTCCAGGTAGGTCAAAAGAGCGTGATGGTAAGCGAGCTAGCCGTCAAATTTGGCCGAGATTTCAGAGCACAACTGGCAACTGTGGTCCTTTTCCGAGTTCTCTTAACGAACGAGGCAACTGTCAACCAAGGCTGGGAGTATATCGTCCGCATCTTGAGTAACTTGTTCATCAACTCTCTCATTCCGCCATTCGATGGTGAACTCACCTCCGAACTTGAAATCTCTCCAATTCCACTACAGCCTCCATCACAGGTGGTTGATCGGGATGGACGCAACAACGACACTGGAATTTTGTCAGCATTCACATCTTACCTCTCAAGTTATGCGGCAGACGATCCTCCTGAGCCTTCGGACGAAGAACTTGACAACACACTTTGCACAGTGGATTGTGTGACCGCGTGCTCAATCTCCGAAATCTTAACAAATATCAAGTCAGTAAAGATGTTTCATTGAATGGCTTGTGGCCATTATGCTGACTTCTCCCACAGATCTCTACCGTTATCCTCATTGGAGGTGCTCGTGGAGGCTTTGTTGTCCCTGCTTCCCGAGGAGAACGCACCAGCAGTCATTGTCGTAAAATCCGAACGGCCGACACCAACGTCGAGGGCTCCCAACAATAGAATCGACCCTAACCAGCCCAAATATGACCCTTCGATGATATTCGTTCTGGAATTGGCAACGGTGCTCACTCTTCGTGACGAAAAGTCCCTGGAGGTCCTTGGTGAAAACCTAGCAACAACCCTTCAAACATTGGTGCGCGATGCGAAGAACCTCCATCCGCTAACTGTGTCTCGTGTGGTTTCTTATCTCTTAAGTCTCTTGCGACTGAGCCATGTATGTACCCTCCTTTACCCTGCGGTTTTGATATGCGTGGCTTCTTACTAATACTACTCTAGGACCAACATTTCATGCGGGTACCTGTTGTGCTCCACGCTATTTCTGGATTCGATCAGGATATCTTGGAAACCGTGGCTGTAGCGACAGTCAAGGGTCTTGCCAGGTGCATTGCTCATACAGGCCGTCTACGAAACGAGATCACAATTTCTCCGGATTTCTGGTCAATCTTGCAAAGACTTCACCAACACGAGGCAGTGGCATCTCTTGTCTTTGATCTTCTACAAAGCATTGTTGAGTCGATGCCCGATATTATCACAGCCGA